TTGCCGACTGGGGTGGAGTCTTTCCCACTGCTGATTGCAGTTGCCTATAAAATTCCTCCTTCTCCTGATCTGCATTATTTGTTGACGCGTAGCATTGGATAGTTATGACTCTCCCTCCTTTTGATTTGAATCCTGCTGCCATGATCCTGGAGTAGATTGGTTTCCATTGCATGAGAGCTTTCGATGACCTTGGAGACATCGTTATAGTCACTCCCTCCGTGTGCTCTTGGTTGTCGTCTGGGTGACCGAAGGAGAACGCTGATTCTCCAGTTGACAGTTGGAAGAGTCCGCCTCCATTCCATCTGCTTTTGTATACCCCTGGCACTTCTGCGGTCTGTGTTCCCATTTCTTCGACCAGCTGGGCAGTTCTAACCTTAAACATCGTGCGGCTATTTCAAATCTCCTTGGTTACCTTCGCTTTCGTCAAGGGAAGACAGGTCAGCCAATCGGCCTTCAGAGGGCTTTCACTAGCGGGTGTCATTTCGTCTCTCCGACTCCAGCGAGGAATAAGTTCGTTTCTGTTCTTGATATTTTCTTTGTGCTTTAAAGTTGCTTGAGCGATTGGGTTGGTTTAGAGTGGTAGGGTTGCTGGCACTATGCCCAGTCTTCACTTTTTACCTGGGCTTAGGACCGGCTAATGACTAGTAAAACAATCAAGCAGGTGAGGTTATCAAACAATGAAGCAACACCACACAATTCAAAGGGAGTGACGTGGGAGTGGACTTGGATGAATCGACAGTTCAGTCGATACACTAGAGCCTGTAAACCAATTCTGGCAAACGTTCAGTTATGCCCAGTGGTCGCTGCAATCGCTTTCAGCATACTGATACTTTCAAACACTGGGCCGAATGACTGTGGTGTTAAAATTGCTGTAATCATGTGGGGCACCTTCCTGACACCAAAATGCAACTGGGGCTAAAATAAATAGATAAGATTAAATTAACCAAACAAACCTATAGCTTGCCTACTGATGCTCTAGACGTTTTAAGTTTTGTTTAAACGAGCGTGCATCCGAACAGGCTTGGACGCCATTTTGCGCTTCCTTAGTGTTGGTTAGCACGCATATACCCAGAGTCTCTGGCTCGGCCATACTACCCAGATACTTTGAATAGACTTTTCCCCCATTTATTACCATTACATTTACTCTAATTAAGTACATTACTTCTTCAAGCATACTCTCGAACCAGTTCTTTTGATTTGTGTTTCGTTGCGGTACTTACACGTAAGGTAAGGTACTGGTTAAACAGGCACATCAAGTTAAGTAGGGTTGGCCAGACGTTACGGAATGGCAACACACTTCCCCTACAATCTAAAAACGTTCGCCCACAGTATCACGGCGGTTGTGAAAGTACTTTGTGTCCCCAACTCTGGGATTTCAAAAGCTTTGATCGGGATATGTTCAAAATACTCCACCATTTATGAGCAAGGCTTTGCTCATGATAATGCGTTCATACTGGCAGTTTGTTCCTAGAAGGGATGTCCACATACTTGAGTTTGCTCGAAGGCTTAATCCTAGACTTGCGAGTGGACTTTCCAGCCTGCCGCGTGACGAACGTTTAGATCGACTGAATTTGCCCTCTCCGTCCTATCATCCCAAGGATAACGGTCAGAAATTAGCATTTGGTTTTACCGATAATGATTTCCGTACCACTTCCCCACCCATTAAGATTCATTATAACTCGGAAACCGTGACTTAGTTTAAACCTGTATTGTTCGGGCAATTGGCTGCTGGTACCGCTACTGACCAACAAATGGCCATTCTTATCTAAGTATTGTGCATGAGTACATTTTTTATCAGTCCCCTATGTACGGTTAAGTACAAAAGACAAATAAGCAGACAAGCCTAGATGGTTTAAACGGCACAGAAGTGTAATGCGTTTTCTGGCACGTAGTCGACAGTTATTTTGGGGTACACGTCATAACCCATCTGGCTGTATACGGATGCATCACGGACACTAAGGATGTAGCTGTTAATCCGTACGAAGTGGGCGCGAGGTGGTAGTGGTCGACCCGATATTGCGCAAACGTATACATTATCTTTTTGTGAGCCAGTGTGAACCAATTGGTTTCGTCGCCCTAGATTCCAGGTCTTGAGGGACAGTTCCAGGCTTTTGGGGGGGTTTCCAGGCAGCAGACCTGCCCACTTGCCTGCTGTAGCTCTGGTTGACCCGGCGAGCGACTGGGTGTTGATCAAATTTACGGGGATCGTGCGGTTTTTTAAGGACTGTAGTTCAGATGGGCTCCTCAAGTGTCGCGCCGACAGACGCTTGGTCGGACAGGCAAAAAGAAGATCAAAGAGGAGTCCAGTGAAACCAGGGGAGACGAGGTGAGAAGAAAAAGAGGCTAAAAACGATAAGATGAAAGGGAACGGAACGGAAGAATTAACCTAGGAAGATTTGTAGGAGAAGAGTGATGGGGAGAATTCACACTAGATGGTGCAAGAACACGGAGTCTAGGAGGAAAGAGGTAGCGAGCAGGACAATAAGACGACCTATGGGGATAAGGATAGTAATACTATTAGCAGGAGACGGCAACTGGAGGAGATGTCCACAGGGGAGTGTAGGGTCGAAGCAGGTTCGTAATGGGAGTGGCGTTACAAAAGATTCAGAAACGGGTTGGCTGCGCTGAATTGTACTGAGTTAGTAGGTTGTATCGGCCTATTTCATATCCCGGCTGGATTAGTGCGGACCATGCGTCACCATGTGACTGTCAAACCTCTTCACGAAGCTGTCAGCGGACGGAATAGTAGTAGTCTTGGCGGGTAGGGCTTTCCAATGGCCGTAAACTAGAGGAGAGAAGTGCGGACGCGTACGGGTTTTGGCCCCCTGATTGGGGATCCCCCTTCGGTTACCAGGGGGATCGCCACGGCAGCCGCTCTGAAGGATCCCACAGTTCGAATGACTTCCGTTACTAATTGTTTTACAAGCCATTACTAGGGCACCGCCTTATCTAGGGTGGCTAAGACAGTAAAGCCCTAGGTCTTTCGATCTGTCCTCACTGGGTTTTTGCCTCATTCCCACGGCACCCGTTGTTGCTGGCCCCTGAGCTTTCTCCGGGAGGTTCACGGCTCTCCCCAAGTACGGCGGCGTGGTGACGTCGTGCACCCTCGAGTGGGGTCGTCTGTGGGTCTTGTACAGCTTCAAACATAGTTCCGGGGTGGGGGCACCTAGTTGTCTGTGCATGGAGTGCAGTACTGTGCGGGCTCTGGAGATATCTCCCGGATTCTTGGAGAAAGCGTCAAAACATTCGGCGAGTAACAGTCCCAGGTCTTCCTCCACAAAGAGAGTAGGGAACTTTCTGAGAGTTAGGGGTGCGGAGAAACATAGTTCGACACTTATCAAGATTAAATGCTAGTCGTTTATTAACCGCCCACTGTGCAAGCAATGTGGGATCACTTCGCATTGCACTTGATTCTGCTTCGGATTTTACAGCTCTCTACAAGTTAACATTGTTGGTGCAAAGTAGAATTGGGGAGCTGAGATTGGAAGGAAGGTCACCCGCGTAAGGAAGGAACGGCAGCAGACCCAGAATCTCTCTTTGCGATGCGCAAGATGATAATGCCCTCCAAGTTGGGCAGAATCTTATGGATTTCTGCAGAATTCTCCCCCGCCTAAGTGGTTCTGCAGCACTTGACTCCTGAAACCCAACCCTGACATTTTGCGAACAAGAATAAAAAGCGATGCCGCGCTAAACGACTTGCAAAATGCTGAAAAATAATGTGAAAGGAATCTGGAGGTCCGGTTGACAGCGTGTCTGGGGCGCAGGACCGAATATATACGAAAATTTGTTCAGCAGCACTCCGCGTTCCTATCTAAGGAAATGTCCTGGTGCGAGCCTACCTTTATGTCCCTAAGGAAAGTATCTGATTTATTATATGGGACTCCAGAACTGTTTCGACTTTGTCCGGAGAGTTGAGGACAACTTAAAACAACCTGGGGGTATAGACGGTCGAGAAAGGAGTCGGTCTTGGGTGACAAATTTTTTTCGGACTTCACATTTTGGAACTGTGCTGGTGCGAACTCAGCAGACGCAAAGGCCAATCACTAATCATTTGAACTCGTTATATATCCACGAGTACAAGACCAAGAAAGAACACAATAGCGTAGTCAGATGGCAGGGTATATTTGCGAGGTCATGTCAAGATACCGATGAGTTCCAACTGACTGGCCAGAAAGTCGGTTACGGGCCGTGCAACGCAAGACAACGGCGTGCCAAATGGCGAGGATGCTTGACCGGGTGCCTTCAGCTTAACGAGTCCAGCTAAACTATCAAGGTCAGCATCAGTGCTAAATCTCGTCAAACTCTAGGCTGTTGATTCTGGAGAGGTGTGTGACGCCACACTCTCTTTTACAAGTACTCCCCAAGATGGTCGTTTATCGGACTCTCCACTGGTAGAATTTCTTTGGTTCAGTAGGATTTCGGCTTCTGCTTGTCTCCTCTGGAGATGGGAGGCAGAATGGCACGTTTCAACTGTCGCGGATGCTTGTGTTTGTCTAAGGAGTGACGAAACAGATTACGGGGTGGACCGCATAGGGTATCCACACATCGTTTCAACACAACCGGCCGGATGTCATCGCTTCCCTGTGATTTCTCTGTGCGCAGCTTTGACAGACTTTCGGGAACCGTAGCAGGAGTTACGTCTATTCGTGGCAGCTCTACTGCATTTAATAGTGCTGAATGTTGGCTGGGTAGTTGGAGATTTTGGTTGGACGACGCCATGTTCGGCTGTGTCGAAGGCTGCGCTAAAGGTTTTGGCGATCTCCAGCCCATGGAGGTGTGAAAAAAAAGTTAAAAGATTGTAAGCAGCTACTCAGAAATTAAGAGAATATTTAGATAGTGTCAGAATTTAGGTAGATGCTTGTTGGTTTGCATTAAACCTCATACTGTTTTGGGGCGAACTACACTTCAGTCGGGCTGACAACGTTTAGAACTCTTGACCTCAGCGACAGACCTCAGCATCTTGATTGAAACCATTTAAAGTGAAACTAGGCCTTCATGAAGGTATTCTGTGCTAGAATTAACTATGACACTCAACGTGATAATGTTATGGTGAATAGTGAAGCAACTTAGAATTAGTATCAGTGAAATCAAGTAAACTCGTTCCCACTTCTTATACTACTGTAAATGATAGTAAAAATATCGAAGTTTGAATTTAAACAATAAAAGGAATACTATTTAGTAGTTTGTTTCTCAATTCAAAGTTAACCGAAGTTTAATTTATTGGAAATAGAGCACAAATCTGCCACTTAGTTTGGTTTGAGCGCAACATGGGTTCCGTTTTCACCCAACATTTGATATGTTGTTTCATTGGCTTACTGTTCATACTGAATTCCCTTAACACTCAGAAAGAACCCAGCTGTAGCCGTGCAAAAAACTGTAATGAGTGCATGGGAATACGTCCAGCGTGTTCATGGTGTACCGCAGATGAGTTCGATGACACGAAAGAGGGTCCTGGATACCGATGTGCACCGTCATCTATTTTATCATCGCGTGGGTGTCCCAAAGATAATATAGAAAATGTGGAATCCATGGTTCTTGGTGAGTTTACTTTTGCCTGAATTCTGTCACCTTACGGTGTACGTATGCGACTTATAAGTCGTCATGATAACGACTGCAGTAAACTTAAATCCACACACTTAGTTTTGATAAGTAACCAACACAATATTTGTTGGAATACCTTCAGTTTTTATCATGTTTTACTCGCTACTCGGCTTCTATATAGGACAACTTGCAAGATCTTCGCTGGAGCCAAAGTTTGACCTCTTGCTGGGGATAGTGGTATGTAAAAGTTTAGCGTTCTAAACTAACAACTTTTTCATGTAGGGTATGGACGTTGTCTAACTGTGTAGGTTAGGTAGATATCACTTAACAATTTTATGCTGTTTTGAAGCTTGCTTGTAGGCTACCTAGCCCGCTTCTTCAGACTTACATGTTCTCACTAATTCAAATCGTCGAGCGTTTGATCTACAACCATTCAGATGAAAATTCGCTTCGTGTCTGCTTGATTGCGTAAAAATGTTAGCTAGGATGAAGTTTGTAATTTGGAGGCTCGTTGATCGCTTCAGTTTTAGTTGATTAGATGGTTCTACCACAGTCCTGAAGTTTTACTGTTCAATTCGTTGGTCTCTATTGTTTTGGGTAATTTAGACATACCGCATGTGTAGCTTACCGCCTATATCATTGCACAGGAAAAGACGTAGATTAACCTTGGCGAATAACCATTTAGTCAGCAGTCTGCTGGTCTACGTAGAGAAACTTAAGCTTTGACTTTAGAATCTGCAAGTTGGCGTAAATTAATTACTTGAGGTCAAATGATATCCTCTGAACTGGTTGCAGTTATATAAATACGGGTGTGCCTGTTAAATGCATATTCACCACATTCTTTTATGCCTTGAGCACATTTCCTAGTTTCGTTTATTTACGCTTAAGTGCATATGGATGCTAATATAAACATTTGCACTTCTTTTCACTGTTCGTGATAGTTCATTCAATTCTATGTTATTTTTGATATGTAATCTGTTGATAAAAGCGTTTCTCCTTTAATCTTTACTTAACACTGAAATACGTGGCCTCAACCCAACGAGGAAGGGTTGTGACCAAAATTAGTTCTACTGTGTAGAACTGCGGAGTAAACGTTTACGTTCTAGTTTGCCGTATACATTAAGAGCGAGTCGTTATGTGTATCTAGGGAGGAAACTTGAGTGCTGATAGAGTTATGACGATTGATGCTCCCTGCAGCCTATTGTTATTATTATCACCATTATTATTATTATTGTCAGAACACAAATGCAGTACATCAAGGGCACCAAGAAATGCGCCAGAAAATAATATAACACTAAGAAGATATAAAGCGAAGGCAAGTGGATAGAAATAAAACACCATAAGAATAGAATGATTAATATTAGGAGTAAAACTTGGACACCGGTCGATTGTAATTCCACTTTCGTCTGTTTATTAAAAGTTTCACGCAGTGAAACAGTATCATTTACTGGAAAGCAATAGATTGTGTCTGAAACGTTTTCCAACAAATGACACTTTCACTTTGTGGCATTAATAAACAGACTAAAATGGAATAGAATGATTAGAAGGCCGATCCAGTAAGGTAGTTTCAAAGTTTACTTCAGTGGTGCCATGTTTAGTAATAAGTGAAATGGTTGAGCGCATCGACCACTTCGTAGGAGGTTGGATCGGCTTAGATGAGACGGAACAAAGAAATCTGTACAGATACAAAAGGCTCACTTGACCTTTTCAATTGGGCCATTTATGGCACTGCTGTGGCATCCAGTTGTCGTAAGGGTCAAGTTTACTGCACTGCTGTTCTCTTTGTCCAGTCGAATGCCTGAAACACGACCGTCAAAAGTTAAGGAAATAAGGTCCCAGGTGTTCAACCACTGTTGGCTTCGTTGCATAGGTCGTGTGCAGCGATGTCACCACGTTAGTAACGCAGAAGTTAGGTGTTGAGTCTTAGATATAAAAAGAAAGTCAATTGATGGGGTTGTTAACCTTCGTCGACTATGACTAGGACGTGTTACGCATGTCTAGTCGTCGTCAACCCTGTCACCCCGACCGATAATTGCTACCTTGACGTGATGGTTGGGGTTGCACATCACAATGACCCAATGAGGTATGCTGGTAGAATCTTGTTCCCTTGAGGTCCTACCATGCCGGAAGGGTCCGTTGGATAGTGATAGGAGGAAAGTCGGTTACCATTGCAGTGTAAATTACTACACAATGATGAATGTAAGAATGATTCCTTACTGCTACTAGCTGGATGGGTTGTAACAGCAGTGTAGCGTTTCCCTTGGATAACCAGTAGTACCACGCTGCTGCCTTCCCAACACGAAGGAGGAAGCGGTTAGAAAAGATCGGTCCTGAAAATAACAAACCTCACCTCCTAGTGACATACCGATGCTTGCGACGGGGATTCATGGCCGTATTCAAAAGAAAAACCTACAATTTCGAAATTCTATGTGTGACTGGCCTCAAGTAGGTGTCCCAGGGGCTCTGTGGTCACAAACTGTCTCTTCCTTTTCAGGCACCTCAAAAACTAGCCTTGCATTGTATGAGCGGCCGGGAAATGTAAACCGTCTGCATGCTTCCAGCAGTACACAAAACCCAATCAAAAGTGACATATCCCCCTCAACTCTGTCTCCTCCTTGGCCTTCATCTCTTGGTACTAATATTAAGCCTCTTACGCCTTATGCAACATCTCACTGTGCAACCGCTGCCAACGATCAAAGCCATCAAAACCTCATTTCTAGTCTCCTGAGACCTCGCCATCGACTTTATTTAGGAGCTTTTGATGTCCAAACTTTACACGAAATCGAACTGCAAGCATCGCTTGCCAGAACTCTGGAATCTCTATCCATGGGTGTCTGATGTGTCTGTGAAACATGTATACAGACAGAACTCGAGTGTGGTTATGACATTAAGCTTCCTTGGTTATTGTAGTGAGTCTTCAGAATTCACCCTGAGTATCCGGAGACCCAATAGCTAGCTCTTATGGACTCGCTGGTATAGGCATAGCATTGAGTTGTAGAGCAGAAGGTGCGCTTCTCGACTGGATATCAGTCAAAATCTGTTTATATGCTGCTCGACTAAATGGATCTGTAAGGACTAGGAAGGATCGTGAGACTACGTGGTGCGTATTCGTCGTCTCCGCCTAGGGGCCCACCGATTGTAGTTCGTATGGTGCAACGAATGAGTTCTATGAGAAGCTATCAACTTGCTACTGAAAGCAAAACGTCCAGATGTAGTCATAACGGCGGGTGATTTCAGCGCTGAAGTAGGGAAGCTGAGCCAATCGGAAAGGTATCTTCGGGGTATTTACTGAATCCCATGCCAACCAACCGAGAATCACTTACTTCTGGCCAATACTAACTTTAGGCATAGGAAGAGATACTGTCTCACATGGCGCCAGGAGACTTCAAATCGACGATAGGTCATATTGCTATCAGCCATCGTTAGAGATCAGTGGAAGATTGCCAGTTTTCGTAGAGTACCTCTTTGGACTCCGATCACGTGCTAGTACGGGTTCATATATGTCTGCCTCACTGGCTGCAGGAAACAGGCGGTAATGAGGCCAGTCTGTGCTCGATTGGTGGATGAGAACGCCAAGTTAACATTTCGAGAGGTTAGTTAATCATTTATCTAAATGTGACAGAAATGCTGATTATGAGAAAACTTGGCATGTTATTAAGTCTGCTGTAGAAACAGCGGTGGAAACAATTGGTAACCTACACATAGAGGTTAGGAAACGTCATTGGAATTCTGCGACGTCATCCGAACTGGTTGATGCGAGAAGACTGATTCCAACGGCCTCTGACCACAATGAAGAGCAAAAGCAACTCAAACGTAAGTTGACGAAAAGTCTTCGCGTCGATCGTGAGAAGTGGTTGGCTATGAAAACGAGAGAAATGGGGAAGGCATCAGCCTTTGGTAACACTGGACAATTATTTAGGCCTATTAAGGATACCAGTAAGAAGAAGACTATAGTTAGTTAAACCATCTCCTAAAAGGATAGAACGCTGATAACCTCCCAGGGCAGGGGACTAAAACGTTGGGTGGAGCTTTTTGAATCACAGTTCAACTGACCCTCAGCAACGCTTCCGTTGCCCACCACCCAGCTTGAACCTGAATTGGACGTAGATGTCGGCCCTTCAACTCTTCTTGAAGTTGAGAAAGCTGTATCGAACCTGAAACGACAGAACCTCACAGTTTTTCACCTGAAGTTTCCATGGATAGAGGTACTAAATTGCTGCTCAAAGTGACGGAGGTACTAGCTAGTGTATGGAAATCAAAGGTAGTGCCGTCAAACTGGTGTACCTCATTGATCATCCCAGTCTATAAGAAGGAAGATAAATCTTCGTGTGATAAATATAGGTGAATTAGTTTGACTAATATTGTATCCTAGATCCTAAGGTCCGTAGCTGTCCGACGCCCAACTGGGGTTCGAGAGCAGCAAATTCGAGTAAACCAGGCGGGTTTCAGATCTGGGTGAGGGTGCATCAATCATATTTTCGCCTTCCGGCAGGTTCTGGAACACAGGCATACCTGCAGGCGGTTGACACTTGCCATATTTGTTGACCTAAAGGTAGCATTTGACCCAGTCAATCGTGAGATGTTGTGGTAGTGTCTGTGAAACGACTACTGGTCACGTATGTAACGCTAATCAAGGCTCTCTACTCAAAATCATCTAATCAGTGTCGGAACTAAAATTAAAACTCGTAAATAAGTTCAGTGATCAATAGTCAGCGTAAGAAAATGTAGAATACTAGTGTTTTTGCCGTAAATGAAATGAATTCCACAGAATTTCGTTTAATAGTTCGAGGTGAAGTTCAGTTGTAACCAGATTTATTCTTCGTGTTTTCCGTAGTAAATTTCTTTGATTGGCTTCGTGTTACGGTTTCAAATTGCTATAACCACTGACGATGCACGGATATCGACTGTTACCTACCAGCACTACAATTTCTTGGTTGATTCCCGACCCAGCTAATTGATGGAGAAGACAGTGAAACGTGTAGGAATATCTATTCAAACCGAAGACCCGAAGTAATTAAAGAAGGTGAATATAACTAAATATATACATAGTCCAGCGTTCAAAAATATTAATATTGATTGATTGGATGTCCTCCAGCCTAAGTGTAGACGTGATTAACACGAAGTACATTTTGATAAGTCCATTTCCAGAATAGTTAGTTCGATCCACTTATGAATTAGATGTGTATTATTCCAATAGAAATATTTAAAGGTGTTTGTTTACTAGGCTGTTAGCCACACTTATTACATGAGGGTTGTCCAGACTGAATTGAGGTTTGAACCCGAAGCCCATTGTTCGGAGACCAAGCCACAGACTCATGGTCCAGACTTAGAGGTCAAAACATTTGACCTAACTATTAGGTTGAGTTCAAACGAAGTCCGCATACTTCGCCTTTATCAACCGGATCGTACCATGAGTAACTATACAAATTCGACTGAAATTGACAGTTTCAAATATTTATCATTTTTGAATGTGCATCTCAGGTCTCCTCTCTTGTTGGTAGCAGGTGCAGTAACTCAAACTCAATTTAAAGAGTGGTTTTCCGTGCAGCAGCAAACTAGTTGTTAAATTACACGTGTCGGAATTAAGATAGTTAGATGCCCTATATGGAATTGTGGATCATTGGTTTGGGGAGTTGACTCAACCAGTAGGCCGCGGGTTGGAGCACTGCTCCACCTGTCAAGGTTTAGGAAGCCAGGTAGTTTCATCAGACCTCAAACAATGTGTGCCAATAATTGCGTACTGCACAAATGTGCGAAAGGCTGCTGTGTATATTTCGATTTATTGGGTCCCCTAGACTATACACATTTCTCACCTTGAAGGTATATTTGACTTATCTGGCTGACAACCACTACGTTGACATAGTTGAACCAAATGGCCAAATAAGGTATATTAGCTCCAAAGTTATTCCTATGAGATTTACCATCTTAGAAAGATCAACCAAGTAATGGTAAGCTTGAAGACAGGTACCACCGTAGAGTAATTAAGTCACGTACCCTGTTGTGGGGTCTGAGGCCGCTAACAGAATAGACATGCAACCAGAATTACAGATATACCACCTTTCTAATTTGAAAAGGAGGGATTAGAAAAGGTCAACCTTTGAAACTCATATAATCACTAAAGACTTGAGATACGATAATATTGCGTGCATTGCCGCATCGCATTAGTACATCAAGCGACAATGCGTCAAGATGGAACATAAAGAAATAAGGGATAAATTGAAGGTGGTGTAAAGTTATAAAAACAGAGGAAAGAAGAATGAAAAAAATACTGAATCTCAGTGTGCGGATTACGATTAAGATGATATATATATATATATATATATATATATATATATATATATATATATATATATATATACATGCGCCATCGAAATCGATACGGGTCCAAATCGCCGTCTCCGACTACCGATTTTGGTTGTCATATAGGCCCCAACTGGAAAGCGTAAGTCTCCCTAGATGAATCGATCCAACAGTCAAAGACTTCATAAACTGACACCGTTTTTGAGTTTGGCCGTCTCTAACATTTTACCAGATTTAACCTACTTAGGTAACTTTTATTGAGTCTTATTCACCTTGCTGTGGTCCTTGAGGTGATTAAAGAACTTGAGTGGTACGACAGAATTGCCTACAATGATGTGAGTATTCACTCTCTTTTTCGAGAGCTGGAATGTTTGATGAGCTTCCAACGCTCTGATCTCCCCTCCTCTTATTCACTTTTATTTTTCTGCCATCTTATTTCCGTTTGCTTCACATGTTGCTAAGTGTAAAATCCTGTACTAAGGCTGTTGTACATTAATCTGTGTGTGGTTTGAAGAGTAAAATCTTTTTCAGCTGATAAGTTTTTCACATATCTTTCTGTGATTATCACTGATTTCATAGAATGCCTCATTCTGTTAGCTTTATAGCTTCATTGTCTGCTATACCTTCATTACATACCCGTCTGATGTAAGTTCTTGTGGAAGAGAGATATCTGTGTACCATTTTGGAGCTTCTGTTTTCTTATATTTTGTGTTTTTGGAGCGTGAGACATATGATCAGTGGTTATGTGCAACAAAATGATTTATCATTGCTGCAATTCAAGATGCTATCTAATGATATCATTTGAAGGTTTTAGTTGAAGTCTCCATGTCAATCAGTGCGATGCGTAAATGTATTTTGTCTTTCATTATCTATCTTCTCGGTTTACAAGCTTTTGGGTGTTATTTAGATTGCTATTTCAGTCTAGAGTGGATGTATTTTTTGAATTGCGCTTTAGATCATGGAGTTCCCTATGAGCAGGTCAGTACAAGTGAAGACATACAACTTACACCACGATCTCAGTCAGTAAAAATTCGACCTGGAGGCACTATGGTGGTCAACTTCACCTTCCAGTCAATTTCGGATTACCCCGTTGACCTCTACTTTCTAACTGATCTTAGTTACACGATGATTGATGATCTGGAGACAGTTTCTCGCTTGACAAATGACATTGTACTAACTATGCGTAATGTAACAAAGAAATTACAAATGGGATTCGGTGCTTTTGTGGACAAACCAGTATTTCCTTTTGTTGTGCCCACTCCAGAATACCTTCGAAATCCATGTTTGAATGTAGGGACTAAGAATCTTCACTGTGATCCGCCATTTTTATATAAACATATCCTATCACTAACTGATAATTTTGAAGAATTTCGAGAGAAGACTAAAGTAGCACGGGTATGTTTTACTTTACTCCCACTAACTGCTTTTTGTCTGTATTCTGCTAAGATTCTTTTGTACAACTCTTTTTGCCCAAGTATATATTGTTTGTAATGTGGTATTAAGAGTTTTTTTTGAAAATTGCATATCTTCAGACTGAGTGGCAAACTTCCATTGTCAAGTATGAACGGATCAGCATAGAACTTGGTATCAAAATTCATCAGCTGTGGTTGCCGTCGTCAGTCGTCAACTTGGAGTGATGATAAGATTGTCTTCATTGGCATGATTTTTGAGTTGTATAGGTTTAAGCGCTGATATACAGTTTCATTAGGAGACTGCCTACTGTGCTTCTTGAGCTCAGATCAACGGTGGTAAAGCCCTACTTCTTTGTTACGTGGGAATGTAGCTTTTCTAGTGATTTTGACATCTTGTAGCAAAAATTAAAGGGAGTTACTCGATAATCCTTTGTCTTTTCGTTGTTAATGACAAGTTTTTCCTTCTAAATGAATAAAACTCTACAAAGGTTGTGTGCAACTGATCTTTTGAACTTCCTGAATAACTATCTGGATTCAATCAATAAACGTCGTATACTTTATTTCTGTTATTTCAAGAAGATATCATCTCTCTCAACTTATATATTACTTGACTGATCCCTCTCATCTTTCCTTCCAGCTAGTCTTTTTCTACAGTCCTTTTAACTTCTGCAAAAAGCATGAAAAACTGACTTGTGAGTGAGCCAGGTTTCATCTAGGCTGTGGATGAATCAATGAAATGTTTACCGTTGGCAATATGTGTACACATCGTCACAAATATAACAAACCCATAATCCCTGTTTTTTTGAGCATTAGAACTACCCGTGATTCAGCGAGAGATACTACTACTAAACAACTTGAGTAGTTAGAAACCACTCGGGTTGATATGTAGTACTTTGCCAGCCAGATCAGATGATCTGAACTGATTTGGCTCTGAGCTGAATTTGTCCGAGTACACCCCTGATGAGCTCTGCCCCAAACGGGCGAAACGGCCATTAATACGATTTTTAGATCACTGATCTGGCTGCAAAAATGCTAAAGATCAGCCTGAATAGTTTCTAACTAAAGTTGCTCAGTAGTAGCATCTTTCGCTATTCCACGACACTCGTACGAGAGTGGCTTTCAGCGGAAACCCTGTTAACACCACATTTGGTCAGTTGAAAAACTACTCAACTGTGATAAATGTTGTAAATCATTTGTAAATTATTCATTCTACTTTACCTTCGATTTGTTTGACACAATTTTGCTTTGTCCACTAGAGAAGAGTACTTCTTAGAAGCTTGGGAAAATTTTGAAAGTGATGTATAGGAAAGTGTCTCAGGTAGACTGAAGACACACAACTGCATCTTTTTAAACCAGCTGTGCAGTAGGGTAGAGTTTCTTAGTTTCATCATCTCTGTTTGGCGTAAATGACGTTCTCGAAGCAGCTCTGAAGTCACATTTTATTGGTATAGTTCTGTTGTCAAAGGAGAAAGTTTTCGGCATTAATTACGTGGAAGCTGTCCTCTAACACTTTGCGATAATGTTAGTGCTTACACAAGTTTTATTTAATACGTTTAGTGTCCACAAACGTTGAATGTGGTTGGGATTATCGGTGTTGAATGTAGTTTTGCAAGATAGGTAAGCTCAAGTAAAGGTGATCCGTCGGCAGTAGTCGAAAGTGTTGTGTACGGATAAATACGTAAATTCTGGTAGATATGTGACATGAAATTTCTAATCCCACACCGGAAACCAGACTGGAACAGACCAATCTAGACAATCTTTGATGAGGTTCATGATCAAGTGAAAATGACTCTATGTGGAGATTTCTCCTCTACATACACGAGAATTAACCTCTCTGAGCTGGGGTGTTTAGATGATTCTTTTTTTTCCATCCATGTCTCCGTACGATTACTGATGCTCGGATGAAGTTCATGTAAGTTATTCTGTAGTCAGATGGCATTTGTCTGGGCATGATAAGTATTGTCTTCCAAATAGTGATCCCATAGATTTCAGTGGCCTAATAATTTCTTATGCATTCCATAGCAAGTGCCTTCCTCACTTTTTATTGTTTTTTAACCTTAAATAAGTTGGGGAAAAGTGCGATAAATGACGTTTACTCCGAGTTAGCATTTACTAGTGTACCACAACTCCAGAAGAGCATTCCAACTTGCGGCTGGAAATGTTGCCACATATTGTCCAGGGTTAAAACTAGTGATGACTTCTCTCTATAGCTTTCTAATTTCTTTGACTATCTGAAAGTGATGACATTTAAATGTATTTGATAGTCTTTCTTTATTTCATCCCTTTTTAGTCAATTTAATAATATTTTCATATTTTCTGTGGTGTATCTCTTAGTACTCATGATTAGCTGAGATTTTGTTTCAAATAACATAGTTGTAAGGAACCTAAACATTAATTTCTTGAACCAAGATTGTTTACTCTTTCCTTAATACCTATTCCAGATCTAAATATGCTTATTAAGTTAGCTTGATCTAGTTAATATGATGGTTCTACAGTTTGTTCAGAGGATGCATAAAATTTCTGTGCTTAGGCTTTACGAAGTTACATATTCTGTGGATCCCTTCGACTTTTGAAACACAGCACACTTGTCAACCATGTTTTGTGGTTCTCGGAGACCTGCATCGGCTGGTTTGATTGAGAGATGTGTTTTGTATATTGCATCACCTGCTTCAAAAAGCACGGTTGTCTAGGGTAAAAGTGAAGAAGAAAAAGCTTTTTTTTATCATGTGAAGAAACGGTACTACTAGGAATCAATAATCGTCATTCGTAAGGTTTCTGTTAGTGCTTGCAGCTTCTTATATTGCCACGTTACTTCGATTCGCTCTTATTGGAGATTCTATGTAGTTATATCTGCGTAAAAGTCAGCTGAAAATCAAGGTTTGGTACATGGGATATCTTATTTTTAAAATACAAACTCGATTCAAAATACTGACCGACAAATGTGATTTATGAGGACCGTTAAGTCGAAAATCAAGCGACATCGACAAAGAGTAAAGAGATAGGCGGTTCGACAACATACGTCGAAATAAAGCCTTCATTGAATCCGTGTTACTTTTCACAAACAGAGAAAACAAGAAAACTACAGTATAATAGCAGCCGATTTTACTTCGCATGTGTATTTAATATCGTTTACAATATGTGATTTGAATGATCTCTCGGACCCTATCCAGGGAGTTGTGAGGCACCAACGGACCTGCGATACCCAATCTTTCCTCATTCTATGACATCATATCATGCAGCATGCGCTTCTACTAGCTAGTCCTAGGACTAGCTGATAGTAAACAGTATGAGAGCTGCTTAAACGTTTGAGTTTCAACCAATGGGCTCCGATTTCAAAATTGGCTCTACCTACTTCAGCCTGGCAACCGGGTAGCATATCATCAGGCCTCATACAAATCTGGCTTGTAGCCTAGTACATAAACAACTGTGTCGGGTTGGGCTACATTGTTATTATCGTACATCTGAATCTATCAGACCGTGTTATACTCTTAGATCTGTATCATATTATGTATGACAACTCGAACCGTAACACACCCATACCAGGTCCCACGTTTGTATTGACTCACCGACTGATAACTCTTTTTGTTGTCGTTTACTGCATAACTAATAGAAGTATCATAATTTGAAATTATCCTTTATCGTGTTACGTCATTTCAATCGGTTGTATGGATTTGGTCAATCATCAGTTTTAGTTATTTTATAGAAGTCATTGAGATTCGGACTGTTTTGTTCTTTACTGTGAGTAGTGATAATGACCTAGAAGTTGCGATGATCAATGTAAAAGGAATTTAACTGATTACAGTATCATTTTTCGATAGGTTGTTGTTAATTTTGACTTCACTTATAACTTTTATTCTATTACTTTGCTGTCATTCCTTTTTGTTACAGCCTTCGGGTAATTTAGACAGCCCAGAGGGCGGTATGGATGCATTACTTCAAGTTTCTCGATGCGGAGAAATTATTGGCTGGCGTGCTGGTGCTCGAAAAATTGTACTATTTGCTTCTGATGGTGGCTTTCATTTAGCTGGTGATGGTCGAATTGCCGGATTAATACGTCCTCCTCCGACCACCTGCCAACTAACGTTTCAGGCTGATCGGTTTAATTCGTCACTTAAATACCTTGGTTGGCATAATTCTGATCAAACTGACTATCCTAGTGTTGGAGAGGTAAAAAGAAATCATTTCAGATATTCATTTTTGTAAAATAAATTGCTCCTAATAATTCCAGTTCATTTCTACAGTATCAAAAGGATGCTGTTTACTTCTTTTTCTGGAGTAGAAATTCAGCGGTCGAGTCTGAACATCGACCCTTTCAGGTTAATTTGCATACCAGCAAACCTTTCGAGCGATTCATTTTTGTACCTCGTCGTCAGGATACTGATGAATAGTTTCTTTTGATGATGTGTAACGTTCATTGAAAAGTTGTTATGTCTTGTCTCATTGGAATTCGAATCGTTGCTTCATCAGCGATGGGAAAATTCCCAGTCAATCCTTACCATTATATTGCATAAATGTTTTGACTGTGATGTCACGTATACTCGTTTCCAGTGTATGGAGCTATAACTCGCTCGAATTTCAACTAATCCAATAAATTTTGAATATCTTGCATCTAATTTACTTTCTACAGTCTGATAATTGTTGACATTCTCACGCAATATTCGAGATTCTTATTCTAGCTGATAAACACTGATTATGTGGGTGAAGTATTTTCGTTGTTTCTCATCAGTAATACAGGTCGTCTTTTCAACGTACATAGAAGTGATTTACTTTTATGAGTCACTTTATTTCTTATCCATTGTTTGTTTGTCGTTCAGGTTTTTGAAAGTATATTTGAACTTGAGTTTTTGTTTATTTTTCAGATTGCTCAAGTTCTAACTGAAGCTGACATCAGTGTCATCTTTGCAGTTGACAGTAAACTACATGGTTTGTATACTAAACTTGCAGGATTCTTGCCAAGTGCAGCTGTTGGCATCCTAAGTGATAGTTCAACAAATATTGTTCGCCTGTTGCGTGATAATTATGATAAAATTGTGAACAAAGCGGAATTAATGGCTATATATGATGCAGATTATCTTGAAGTAAGTTGATTTCTCTTACTGAATACTTTTGTGCATTGTGTTTCTTTAACTGTAGCGTTTGGGTTCATTTTCATTCTGAACAGTCGATTTCTTCTAACATGATCAAGTTAGTTCAACTTTTTGAACTTCCTGTTAGTACATAAACAAACTGAACTATAGGATCATGCGTTGTTCCATTCTCTGTTCTGTCCTTTTTTAACTTCAATGTTTTAAAGTTGTCGGTCAGCATTTCATGCTGTTTTGAGAAGATTCCATTGAGACGCTAATGTTCAATAGATAGTTATTTGGATAATTAATTGTTGTTTTGACTCTATCGATACTCCGCGAATTTGTTATGCAATTCATGTTTCATGTACAGCATAACTATCTTATTTGACTCGCATTTACCACTACCTCATTTCACTTTACACTTAACCTGAACATTGCTGATTTAGTGATTACATTACAGTCTTTTGAAGGTACTTGATTGTGTTACTTTCTCTGAGCTGGTTGGTTTAATTGTAAGTCTTTTGTTGTGTTTCTGAACAATATCATCAGCACTAAGTTCAACATTTGTTCAGCTATCATGATTTCTCAGTGAATGATTCAGTAGTGGATAGGAAGTGGCCTAAACAGAAATACGCATTTAAAGTTATCAGCCGCTAAAGTGGAAATTTTGGATTTCAACTTTTGTCTTATGTCACTTCATGGTCAAGAGAAACCCTATTGGATAGTTTATACTACAGTTGAAACACCAAAATAAGTATCCAACTTTTGATCTAGTGGTTTTATATATTCGTGATAACCGTAACATAAATGGTGTATTTTTGTCGAATAAAATGTCTTCTTTACAGTCACAGGCCGGTCTTTGTGTTCTGGTTTTTGCGGCTCAGTGAAATATAGAGTTCTGAGGGAGAACAGCTGCTATTCGTATCCAGCCCAAATGTCTTATCGTGTTATTATTGTTCGCGTATTTATTACCATTCACTGGGTTTCAATAGCTTGCCCTGACGAAGTAGCATGTGATTGATAGTCGTCGTTGATTAGACAGATTTACCTGTTGGCCTTTTCTTTACCTGACCTATGACCTTGTAGTTGTTTATCGTTTTTCCTATTGGTTGATATATTGGGTCTACTTCTATACACCGTTTAATTGGTGATTGACGTAACTGCCAAGCTTCTGTGGTATTCTTTGTATTTCTTTCGTCCACGATCTCTACAATTTCAAAATCGAATTCATGTTCCTAATTGTCCACATGCATTGTTATGAGCGACGATATGCCGTGACCTTTAATTACCACAACTGGTTTTCATGTAGACGAAGAGAGAGCTACCACTTTGTCCCATATAGTGCTGATCGCAGTAAGTTGCCGAAGAATGGCCAATAGGTAAATCTGTGCCATCAGTGACACAACAACTACCAATCACATACCACTTCATCATGGCGGTCTACTGAATCATTCACTAAGATATCTTGACAGCTGACCTATGGTGAAATTACTACTGATAGTATTGTCCAGAAAGACAATAAAACCTTCACTGTTAAACCATCCAGTTCACAGAACGTAACAGCGAAGATCATTCACATGCATCATTCATACAAATATTTATCACTGTTTGAAGGCATTAATTGTCCAGTGTTTTCGTAAATGAAAGTTTTTATCTTCAATAAGATCCATATTGATGTTTCAGTGTTGACTACAGGTAAACATCAACTTCCCAGCTGATTATTTTTTTACTGGAAGATTCATGAGAGTTGATAAAAAGAGAGTAGTCAATATCTTAGTGAAAAATGTATTGTAAAATAATTTTTGCAGCATTATAATGAAATTGATCAAATAGGAGTCACTTAGTCGCCTTCATGATCCATTGCAACTATCTTTTGAAAGCAATATAGGCGCTGTATTTCTAAACTGGATCCCATATGTAATCATCTATAAGATTAAGACCAAAGCTTAACTTAGGCGCTTATGAAATAAAAATGTTCTTGAAGTTTATTGTGTCTTTTTCAAGGTTTAATCATTGTTTTCGGAATTGCATGGCTATTTGACTGAAGCCCGTGATTCTCTTTCAACATATTATTATGATTTGTCGCTTGGGTTCCTAGTGGAATATAGGGCTTCAGTAGCACGTCTCCATTCCACTCTCTTCTCTGCAATGTTTTGAACCTGGCTCCACGACTACCCACTAGCTCTCATTTCTTCCTCACACTATCTCAATGTCACCCTCACCTTGGACGCCGACTCGTCGTTTCCCATCTAGGTTCCACTAGAGGGCCTGGCCTGGCGCGTGATGTCCCCAACCGGCCTTCTCAGTGTATGCCCAATCCACCTCCACTTCCTTCTGCATATTTGTTGAGCGATAGGTTCTTGTATGGTTCGTTGCCAGAGTTCCTTGTTACTTGTTCTTTCTGGCCATCTGAGCTTCAGTAACGAGTGTAGGCAGTTTTTGATGAATGTCTGTAGTTTGCTGAAAATGCTTTTCGTGACGCGCCAAGTTTCTGAACTTTATAGAAGCACTGACTTGACACTGGTGATGAAAATCCGAATCTTATTCTTTGTACTGAGTGCACTATCTCTCCACACTGGTTTCAGGACAATGAACGCCTGTCTTGCTCTTCCGACACTGGCTTTGACATCCTTGGTTGTGGTGCCAGTAGTTGAAACGATGCTGCCTAGGTAGGTATAGTGGAAAGAGGCTACTTCCTTAAGATTTCTCCCGTTCATGGTGATCGGTGCTTGTTGTTGTTGTTGGTGGCTTTGGTTGGGTATCTTCATCACCTCTGTCTCCTCTACGTTCGCTTGAAGTCACATCGTCGCTGCCTCTTCTGTCAACTTGTTAGTTTTCGCCTGTAGATCTTCAACTCTGTGCGACATTAAACACAAGTCATCGACGAAATCCAAATCTTCTAGGATCTTTTCCCCGGTCCAGCGTATCCCCCTCTTCTCGCTCCTCACTGTTTGCTGCATGATCCAGTCGACCACAGTCAGGAAGATCATGGGTGATAGTAGGTGGCAGCCTTGTCTTACTCCTGTCTTCACTTCAAAGGTATCACTGAGTTTCCCACTGTGAATTACTTGGCATATGATGTCTTCATATAGTTGTTGAATGAGGTTGATAAAGGTTTGTGGCACTAAAACCGTAGTGTTGAAGCAGCAGCTGCCAGCTTACTTCTCAGTCAACGCTGTCGAAGGCCTTTGCAAAGTGGATGAAGTTGAGGTAGAGAGTTGACTGCCATTCCATGCCTCTGTTCTATGATGATGCGTAGCGTAGTGTTGCAATTTGATCCGCACATGATTTGTACTTCCTGAATCTAGCCTGTTCCGGTCGTAGTTTTGAATCCAGTGCATCCTTTAGTCTCTCCAGGATAATATCAGCCTAACATTTTGCTTGGGGTAGACAGGAGCATGATTGCGCGCTAGTTTCTGCAAAGACTTCGGTTACCCTTCTTCGGGAGTTTGACAAGGTAGTCCTTCTTCCAATCTGCAGGCACCTTTCCTTCCTTCCTTGCAAACCTTCTGCAATAGTGGTGTGAGCATGTCCGCTGTTTTCAGTGCTTCTGGAAGATTTTATCTGGTCCTGCTGCTTTCCCGGATTTCAGCAACTTTATGGCGTTTAGAACTTGTGGTTTTGTCGGAGGGCTTGTATTCATTGGTGATTCTGTAACCGGGCTGCTGGTGGTATTTCTGGACGAGTTGCAGATGGTGGTTGATTCAAATTGGTCCTCTTTTTGTTGTCCATCCTTGCACTGGTTCGTCTGCTTCTGCATCTTTCCCTCCTCTATCAGCTTCCATGTGTCCGTCGAGATCCATTCCTTGTCTTGTTTCCTCTTCCTTCCTAATACGGTTATGCAGGTTTCTTTCCACATCTCTTTCAAAGAGTTCCAGTATTTATCCACACAGGTTTCTTCAGGGATGTTGCTCAATATCTCCCATTTCGTTCTGATGACTGACGTGAAGATGTCCCTTGTAGTTTCATCCTTCAGTTTCTGTTCTGGGTGTTGAACTTCAACTGCGGTCTATCACCAACTACTTTCAAGGTTTTCAACTGGATTGTCAAGGTTCCTTGCACTAGATCTGAGCCTACATCTGTTCCCCTTCTTAACCTTGTGTCAAGTAGGCTGCGTTTCCACTTTCTTGAGATTGAGATGAAATCGATCTGATTTGTAGTGTAATGCGTCCATCTGGTGAAATCCATATCGCTTTGTGAATATCTTTGTGTTTGTACTTACTACCTCCAACCACCAAATCGTTGAATGCTCAGAAGTCTGCAAACAGTTCTCCATTCTCGTTCATTTCACTGAGCGCTTCTCGACGCATAATGAGTTCTCTTCTTGTGTTATCCGCTCGCAGTTTGGCATTCATGTCGCCCCACCCATTAGAATTTTGATGTCGCCAACTGGAGTCTTGTCCACTGCTCATTGCAGTTGTCTGTAGAGTTCCTCCTTCTTCTCTTGGTCTGCATTATTTGTAGGTGCGGAGCATTGTACGATTGTGACTTTCCTTCCTTTTGAGTTGAACCTTGCTGTTATGATCCTGGAGGAGATTGGTTCCCGTTGTATGAGAGCCTTCGATGCTCTCCAGTTGAAATTTTGGAGAGTCCACTCCCATTCCACCTGCTTTCCCAGATTCCTAGCACTTCTATGCTATATCTTATCTCTTTTGCAATCTGGGTAGCCTTGGTAGGTTCAAACATAGTGCGGACATTCCATGTACCCAATCTTACTTTCGCTTTCATCGAGAGAGAGAAGACACATCGGCCAATTGGCTTCCCGAAGGCTTTCACCAACTGGCGTCATTTCGTCTTCCCGATCCCAGCGGGGAATAAGTTTGTTCTTATTTTTTATATTTTGTCTGTGCTTTGAAGTTTCTGTAATGGCTGGATTGGTTTTGTGGGGTAGAGTTGCTAGCCGTATGCCCAACCTTCCCTCTTTAACCGGGCTTAGGACCGGCTAGTAATAGTGAAGTAGTTCACCAGGCGGGTTCTTCAAGATATGAAGTGAAATAATATTACTCTCATTGTAAATGAGTGCAAAAGCCATGAAAGTGTCCTGGCTTGGGGAAAACCTTGTGTTCTTAACGTGTAGAACTTCAGAGTTTAGTTGAGCCATTTCTTGTTGTAGTTATTGTCAAGCTGCTTCTGGAAAAAGTCTTTTCGCCAAAGAAAAACTGGACTTTGCTAGTTCTTTAAGAATGTTTGCTGTATTCTGGAGTTTTTTGTGCTTTGTCAAATAGTCTTTTAACACCTCTTTCTGTAAGATGATAACTTTTATACCGCTTGTAAATATGGTTACAGAGACCTTCATGATAGCAGCTACAACATGAATCTCCTACACTAAAGATCATCTCTCACCATTTCCTCTTCCATATGAGGGGATTCTAGTGTACTGAGGCGATCACGACATTCACTATGTTCTTTTCTAAAGTCATTGACCTCCTAGTTTTTGTTGTAACTCGTAATTTTCCGTTTTCTCTGTGTGTTGAAAAAGTATCTAACAGCTTCTATGAGTATTGGACGATTCTCGATGTCCGGCGTATATCATGATGGGATGTTTTAGTGGCATCTTTTTATCTTCCTTAGCTAACTTCGATATTTTTCTGTCTCACAACATAGTTCTCTTTCAGAAATAGAGGTACTGTAATTAAAAATAAAAATGATGTAGCAATAATTAGGTTCTGTTCAATTTATCCCGAGCATTCTGTATTTCATGGTTCATTATTTTTATGCATTTACAACGCGTTAGATCGAAGAGTTTTACTTAGGTCAAGTATTGGATATTTATGATACTAAAGAAAACTATCAGATGACTGCATTTGAACACCAATTTTCGTATGAACGCCTTTCAAACTGAATAGGTGCCTCATTGGTTTACCGTGAAGATGTGATTGTTTTCTGTTGTTTTGCTCTATTGGGTCCCTGGAAGTCATCTGGTTGACTTGGAATATGCAGACGATATTATCCTGCTAGGTGAAGACGCTGACAGAATGCAGTTTTCTAGACACCTTGAGTAGAAATATGAGTATGTTCGGCATGAGTTTCGCACCTGTCAAATGATGCTCCAGGACTGGTCTTCTGCAAATACTCCCAGTTTAATGATAGGAAGTGAAATGATGGAATGTACCAATCATTTCACCTATTTGGGGAGTTACATCAGCCCGAACGGATTGGGTGGTTGCTGACGAAATCTCAGCTCGGAAACGGAAGTCCTGTTTATCATTTGCTAACTTGCGTCACCTGTTTGGCGCCAACTGGCGAGATATCTGACTATTTGTTAAAAGACGAGTATACTGCGCTGGAGTCGATCGTGTCCTGTTGTATGACTGTGAGACATGACCGTTGAACGTAGATGACATGAAGCGACTACACGGGTCTGATCAGAGCTATCTTCGTAGGATTTCCTGCAGTTAGTGGAATCACCGTGTGAAGAATGTTGAAGTCAGGGAAAAGGTACTAGACAAGACATGGAGGTTTATTGATAAGGTTGTGAACCTCAGTCGACTGAGATAGCTTGGACGTGTAGTGCGTATGCTGAGCCACTGCCTACCTCGACGTGCCATGGTGGGGGAAGTTGGATTAGATTGGAAGAGGGTTAAGGGTGGCCAGACTAACATGTTACACCAGCCGATGAAGCCTGTGGATGTTGGTATGAGTCGTGTAGGGAGATGTAGACTGGCAGGTTGGTGTCGTCGAGACAAGGTGAATGAGTGGTTGGTGACTCTTTGTGAAATGGTTGAAAATGAGTCAGAAAGATACATATGTATTCACTCGTTGAAATCTTCTAAAGCTTGAAAATTTTGCAGTAACTATTATCTTCAAGTTGTTTGTTGTATCATACTACTTTATCTATTTTGATATCACTGTTTTTCTATCGACCTGTTCTCTGTGTACTACTATGAGTTGTGGCAAATTGAGCTGATGGACTTGTGTGGGAGGTTATATGTTGATTTTGTCAGTAAGTCAATGCTTGACTGGGATATGCCTTCCACGCCTTAACTAACACTGTTTAGATAACTTTAGTAAAAGTTGATAAATCTAAATGACTATAACCCACTAACTGGCTACCAGTTTGTTTGTTCTGTTCGACGTTTATATATTTCTGTTGACAGACACATTGTCAACATGGGGCTTGGGATTAATATGTAGTCGGTCCTCCAAGTTGTCAAACATTACATCATCACATCAAGGTAGAAAGTAACGGAAAGGCGAATAAGTGAAGTCCAATAATATTATCAGGAAGTAGCAGAGATTCGTAAGATAAAATAAAGTCAGTATTGGAAATAGAGGTATATGATACTTCAATTTGGATAAACATAAGTCAAAAGTTAGCTTTGTTTTCATGGAGAACTGTAGCTTATGTGTCTTGGGTTTGTGAAAGGTTTAGTGGTAGTAATTTTCAATCTTCTGAACACAACTACCTGTAACTTATTTTATTGATATTTAGGGTTTCTTGTTGCTATACTGGGTCCAATTGTTCGACCTCTGTTGGCAGATGGTTCTTATGCGGATATTTGAATACTCCCTGGATATTCACAACATTGCAGTCTGTTTGATTTTTAGCAGTGGAATCCAGCACTCGCGTTTCGTCCGGCTCATGAGCTGGATGTATCTGCTCCCCAGTGAATTATCTTCCTACTGAAACTCGAACCAAGTACTCATCGCTTCAAACACTAAACCGTTATCCACTGGGGCTTAAGAGCCACTACTTGTACAGTGAGTATCAGTGGCCTAGTGGACAACGCTTTGGCACTTGAAACGATGGGTACTGGGTTCGAGTCCCAGTGGGTGCAACATCTTTCTCCGTGCTGCAGGTGCATCCAACTGATGAGTCCCAAATAGGACGAAACGGATCCTGGATTCCACTGGTAGCTATCAAAAAGACTAACTCTTACTATGTGACCACTCGATGAACATCTATCGAACTTGTGTCAACGGATGCAGTGGAATCATGATTTCTTCAAGTTTGCTTTTTTCAAATGTAGATTGCATTGAAGTTGCATGAAGTTTGTCTAGCAGTTTAGTACTAACTACTTGAGGCATATGTTCAAAACTGAAACGTTAAAAGTGTAGATTTAAGGCTGGAATGTGAGTTTATCGTGTATTGTTGTTTATGCCTATTTAGTACTAGGAATTCCTTCATTACCCGGAAGTAGTTCGAACAAAAGTGCTTAAAATCTTTGTTGTCAGTCCCCACTATTTGCATTTCTATCCAAGTTTGTCTATTGTTGACATTCATCGACCTAATATATGTAGGAATTTGAGGGAACCCGTTTTTTTTCCAAGACCTTGTCTCATCTCATTCAATGTGACATGTGAAGACTCTTTTATGTGAGTTCTTTGGTTTATGAATGACATTCTGTAGGATTAGGTTATACAAGTAAGTAAGGTCACTTGATGATAGTGCTGTAATTTGTCGATTTGCCTGTGGTTCTCTTTGTCCATATATTCATTTTTGCTCTTCCATCTCTTTACTTCTTTCTAGGTCCAGGTATTTTCCAAGTGTAATGGTGAAGAGGAATTTTCGAAGAAAACGGTATGTAATGATCATCCAGTTGGTGGACAAATCAGCTATCAAATATCCGTAAAGGCTAAACGATGTTTTCAAGATGTCAAAAAAGTGGTCTTGAAAATGGTTGCTTTGGAAGATCAAGTAAGTATGCGTTCACACGTGACTCGTACCTTATAGTTCATTCACATGATCCTTAACTTCCTGTTAGGTTATCTGAATTTCTTTATTTTTGAAATTATTTTAGTTAATTAATAAGCCCCGTGCTTATTGATACTGTACCAAACAGTTTTTTTTAGTCAATATTTCAACTAGCAAATCGCTTACTACTACCCGTGTATCTCTTATAGCTTGTTTGTACGAACCGGCACTGGGTTACCAAATATGAACGAACCTTATTAGCACCTCACTTTATTTTATAAGTAGTCTTTAGATATAATCACGTTTCATCTCTTTAAAAGAGACAGCTTTCTCTGTCTAGTTTTGCTCTAATCCTATTCAATTGGTTTCAAAGCATTAAAAAGGTTACGAAATAATCCTGATAAAGGATCAGGAGTTATTATGAATATGAATATAAATGTCAATAGTTATACATTCTAAGCGACGAAAACATATTTTTGGCAGATGTTCCTGCTCAAGGAATACATAAATTATCGAGAAGAATAAATTGCATCCTAATGAAATAGCTCAACAAGAATGCTATTAACAAGGAGGAATATATTGACCTCAGGATCCCAATCTGACCTGATAGAACTAAGTTAAGGATTGGGTAAATGGATTATAAAGGACATATGTATAATCCCAATTAGGTTGAAAAATAAGTTCCTGCACATAAACTAACAAAGTAACTGGTAAAACTTTTGAATCCCATCAGAAACCAAGTTTATTAGCCTCCCTTGTAAGATACATGTGAACTTGTTGACCAATTAAATTATATCAATATTATAGATTCATTCTTTTGATGTGAGTTCCTTATTTACTAACGCAACATTTCCCAAGACTGTTTTTGCGCGGACATATTTTATTTTCCTTTCCCCTATTATTATTATTATTATTATTATTATTATTATTATTATTATTATTATTATTATGCGCTGATAACATCCAGTTCGAATTCGAGAGCGAACACTTCCAGTAAATTGATAGTGTTGCACGGTTAACCTGTTAGGTCCCCTGCTGTCTGGTGTTTATATATCATACGTCGGAGAGCTACTCGAAGATTGAATTGGAAACGTTTGTTCTTATGAGAGATATGGGGATGACATGATTGTTATTTGTATAAAACCTGAGGAGACGATGTGCATATTGGAGAAATTAAATACTACACAAAGTCAAATTAACCTCACTTATGAAGAGGTGGATGAGAAACTACCATTTTCAGACATATCAATTAACCAAGTCCCGATGGCTCAATAAGAAGGTCTATCCTCAGGAAACCGTAGTTACTGCCCAGTTCAATACAAGCAAGGGTTACTCAGGTGTTTATATAGTAGAGTTGATTGTATTTACACATCATACAAAAGAAATAGAAGCCAAACTGTTGACAGATACATTGGTGCAATATCGATATCCATTAAAAAATTTATCTACAGACATAAAATGGATACAACACTGGGACTGATTGATCAGTATTCTGTTCTTAAGAAAATTGTATATATAACATTGCCGTACAAGAGTGAATCGAATGGCCTAATCTTGAAGAAAAGTTTCAAATCAGTTGTTAGCAGGACATACTACGCGGCCAAGGTCATCTTAGTAAAGAAGACAAAGCCCGTGCTTCAACACAAACCTGAGCATCATTTGAACGAGTGTATCACAGCCCATTGTGTCCACCAGTTTATATGTAAATGTAGAACATACATAGGTAGAAGCATTTGTGTGACATGGAGTTGAAAATAGCTGAACAAGTGTCTAAGTTGCTCCGCAAACAAATAACTTCTAATAGTTCGACAAATGCAGGTGACAAACTTTCTTCCTCATCTGTCGCAAAACATATATTAGAAATTCCTCATAAAGTTGATAAGAAGGTAGTCTTTATTGTATTGTATAGATATGATCAAGGACGGATTATCGAAGCCTTTGCTATCCATCAATTTATCCATCCTTTATGTATTCAAAAGTAATTTGTACCCACACTATGCCTACCCTAATAGTATTGAGTTCAACCCTGCGAATTATTGGCAGTGGTTACCTGATCACTCCATTGGCTTGATTAACGTTTCTCAGTTTTTAAATAAGTTATTCGAAAAGTTCACCTGTGATCAGATTGTTCGAAATATATGGCGCTAGTACATCATATGTTTTAGATAATCCCCATAGTCTTAGTACGCTGTTCAAATTTATCAACGAAGCTAATTACTTCATAGTCAGGGGATTGTTTCGAGTACTGCTTTTTGCATGAAATTATAACCTGGGTGACTGTTTAGGGACTTTGGAAGATTTTTGAACTGTGTTATGTAAGTCAGTTAAGTAACTCCATACTGGAGTGACCGAGTGGAATAACACGCTGAGGTAATAAAAATACTAAATGCGATACAATGACAACTATTCATTGAGCGACGAAAGTATCAGAAAAGAAAGATTAATCTTTGACTGTAAGGCAGAATATATTCAACAAAAATACATCATATGTGTACCGTTTTCGCAGACATAAAAATGCGCTAAATCCTAAATGCAAGGAAATATGCGTAATGGATTCTACTGCTAGCCACTGTCTAATCAATAATATCAAGGATAAAATAACTTATCCTGACTGATTCTGTAAGGCACAAAGACGTGAGTAAAATTTATCTTGACTGCACAGCAGCATACATCAAAATTCTAGTCTGAGAAATTTCTACCTCATCCACCAACGACCTGAAATGTTGATTTATGTTATTTATTATTATTACTTTTTTTCCTCTTGTGTTCCTAGTGGAACATAGGGCTTCAGCAGCAAACCTCCATTGCACTCTGTTCTCTACCGTCTTTTGAACCTGGCTCCACGACTATCCACAAGCTTTCATTTCTTCCTCATATCATCTCCTCCATATGACCCTCACCTCGGACGCCCAACTCATCGTTTCTCATTTGAACCTGATCTGGTACGTGATGTCCCCAATCGGCCTTCTCAGTGTGTGCCCAATCCATCTCCACTTTTTTCTGCATATTTGTTGGGCGATAGCTTCTTGGTTGGTTCGTTGCCAACCAGCCAGCCAGAGTTCCTCCTGGCTCATTTTTATTATTCTAGCCATCCGATTTCCATCTTCAGTATCGAGTGAGCGTAGGTGGCAGCTGTTGATGAATGTCTGTAGTTTGTTGGAAGTGCTTTTCGTGACGCACCAAGTCTCTGAACCATCACAGAGAAGCATTGACTTACTTGATATTAGTGTTTGAAATCTGGGATTTTCATGTTAGCAGCTTATTATCAGATATCTAGTTCAACGATCTCAGCATTATTAAAACATGCCTTCGTAATCTAAATAAACAACTGTTTTCTATGCGCAGTTGTATACTCATCCCGCTAGGTAGGACATTTAGGGTAGCAGAAAATTTAAAGTTTGAGGTGTATGAATTTTTCTTTCATCATTCTTAAATCTTTTACAATGCGTATGACGTAACCAATCAAGTATTTTTTTTATTCGTATAAAGCACCTTTTTATCTAATTGATTATTTCCAGGCTGTACTTGGTGTCCAAACTGCGTGTTCATGTCCTAGCTGTGAGAAGTTACCGACGCCTAGTTCTCTAACCCCATTCTCTTCAAGATGTCAATCTCGTGGACATTTGCACTGTGGAGAATGTAAATGTCAGTCTGGATATTCTGGTGACTTTTGTGAATGCTCAGCCGAGGCTAGTGCTGGTGGTGATGCTGCTATGTTGGCACAGTGTACTGAATACGGTGTGAAAGAGGTATGATGAACAATTCAAGCCTTTAAAAGCTTCAAGTAGTACACATTTTCACTGCTACTGAATCTAAAAAATGTCTATTGCTGATTTGGTTTGTTTTAATTATCCAGTAACTTGACTGTATAATTACTATACATGGATTATAATCGACTAGAAACACTATGATTTCAAAGTATTTTCCATCACAGATTGAAGGAAATTGACAAATCATTGAAAATCATGAGGCACTGGCAAACTGTTTCAACCTGACGTTCATGGCATTGATCCTACATGGTGTCATGGATGTGCACTATTGATTAGTCTCAAAGGTGAATCAGCCTTCCGGTGTATTGTAGTGTCAAATATTTCTCTAGTTGACGTTATTACATCGTAAAAAATAGTTTAGAATGAATTAAAATATAACTTGACAGTGTGTACTAAAACAGATGATAGTTGACCTGATGAAATTCTACGATTGTTAGGGTTTGAAATCTGGTTGAAAGTGCTTAAAATATTATACTCCTGAATGAAATAGTTCAGTAGCAAAACTCTGATTAGCAATGAATCTGGTATCTAGATTAAATTGATAAGAAAATAAAGGCTATGTTCAGCAGTAGTTTACCCAGACAGATTGATTTATTGCTATTTCCTATTTTTTTCGAACATATATATTTTTTCTCTCGTGTTTGTAGCCACTGTTTATTAGAAAACTCATTTAGTATTGCTTTTGATCCTTATCAAACTTTCCATTTACTAGCTTTCACAGTCTAACAAAAAAATTTCAAATAAATTATGATAGATTATAAGAAGTTAATTTCCTAGAAGATTTGAATTTCGCTGATGATTTATTTCTAATGCCGCACAAACTCGAAGATCTACAGGCAAAAACCAACAAGTTGACAGAAGAGGCAGCGAAGACGTGACTTCAAGTGAACGCAGAGAAGACAGAAGTGATGATGATACCCAACCAACGCCACCACCAACAACAACAAGCACCGATCACCATGAACGGGAGAAACCTGAAGGAAGTAGTATCTTTCGCCTACCTGGGCAAGGCAGCATCGTTTCAACTACAGGTGGTGGCTCAGGTGAGGATGTCAAAGCCAGGATCGCAAAAGGAAGACCGACCTTCATTAATCTTGAATCAGTGTGGAAATCTACTGCACTCAGCATAAGGAGTGAACAAGATCCGGATTTTCAACACTAATGTCAAGTAAGTCAATGCTTCTCTGTGATGGTTCAGAGACTTGGTGCGTCACGAAAAGCACTTCCAACAAACTACAGACATTCATCAACAGCTGCCACCTACGCTCACTCGATACTGAAGATGGAAATCGGATGGCTAGAATAATAAAAATGAGCCAGGAGGAACTCTGGCTGGCTGGTTGGCAACGAACCAACCAAGAAGCTATCGCCCAACAAATATGCAGAAAAAAGTGGAGATGGATTGGGCACACACTGAGAAGGCCGATTGGGGACATCACGTACCAGATCAGGTTCAAATGAGAAACGATGAGTTGGGCGTCCGAGGTGAGGGTCATATGGAGGAGATGATATGAGGAAGAAATGAAAGCTTGTGGATAGTCGTGGAGCCAGGTTCAAAAGACGGTAGAGAACAGAGTGCAATGGAGGTTTGCTGCTGAAGCCCTATGTTCCACTAGGAACACAAGAGAAAAAAAAGTAATAATAAATAAAAAGTTAATTTATGGTTTCCCTAAGAGCAGTACCATCTGATTGACTGATCAAACGACAGCTATGTTTCATTTATTGATCTAGCATTGTACTTCTTTATCTTATCATTCCATTAACCATCAATTCACTTTCTATGTGAGATAAACTATATTGAAAGCTTGATTTTCACACTCACATATGTATGTAATTGGCTGTATGTGCTTGGAGAAGATTTTAGGGTTGATGATAGTTCATTGACGAAGGACGAAATGCACTCAGCCACTCTATGGATATCTGTGCAGTAGGTAATGAGCCACACCTGTTGTGTGACGGCTGGTGATATTACCTGACTGCCCAAATCTCAGTAATTGAAGTGGGGTTTAAACCTATGCCCCACTAGTTGGGTTGTTCACAGTCAACGTGTAGTTTTCGTTCTCTATTATAAGTATTATCTTAAATCAATTGTACAAGGCCTAATAACTGGTCAGCATCTGATCTCAGTTTGATATTTCGTGATTGAATTAAAAATACCCTGGCTGGGAGGATACGCTAATGAAACGTGGATGGACACACTTAATAGCCTTAAAACAGTGAAAAACATTATCTTATTTTTCACTTTTGATCAGAATGTGTTTAACAAATTAGTTTTGTAGCGCTGCTTACAACACGTATCTAATTCATTGATGTTAACACTTCACTTAGAACCAGTGGATGCAGAAAAGAATATGACAACCTATTGATGTTACGGTATCTTGGTAGTTGTAGTCTCAGCATAAAAAGTGTGAGTCGCTAACTCTTTTGTTTACCTTGTCTTGATTTCAGCTGTAGAGAGATTAAATGAATCCACCGGTGATTCAGGGTTCATAATCCGACTGCAACCTACATTTTCAAAGTTACTTAATGCTTGTAGACCTATCATTTTATGAGTTTATTATTTACAAAAGTATATTTTCACAGCCTTGTTCAGGTCGCGGTCGCTGTGTTTGTGGGAAGTGCAAGTGCAATTTAGCTCGTTATGAAGGTACATATTGTGAATGTGATCGACATGGTTGTAAACGTGCCTCAGATGATAATCAAGTTTGTGGAGGACCGCAACGAGGTACTTGTCAATGTAATGGTACGTGTGAGTGTAAACCAGGATATACAGGTGATAGATGCGACTGTATGGAAAGTGAAAAACAGTGTATTGATCCTAATAATCCATCGGTATGTTCTTTGTATTTCTGTAATCGACTATATGTGCATGTATATCGTCATATTTGGTGTTTGCTATGCTAAACTTTTTAGTGTCATGAAAAATCAGTTCTATTAACTTATTGTCTAGTTTTAGAATCAAATCAGGCCCACATAAATATCGCAATTCCAGCGGAAAATGTTACAATCTGGTAAAATTCAGCGACTAAATCTCACCGTGGATTTTCCCGGATTTGGAAGATCCTTATTCTAAGATGCAGTGTTATTGACACTATTAATGTTAGGAGGTGAATCGGTTGGGTTGTACTGATGCTGAGTTTAACCATAGACCAAGGAAAAGGCCACATACTCGTTAGTTCACCCTTTCATGATCAGTAAACACTAGTGATTGGTTTGAGCGGTACCTAACTAATCAGGGTTATCAGTAGAGTGTAATTTGATTTAACATTTTTCCTGTCAGTTGTATTTTGACTCGTGAAATTATAAACCTTCAGAAAAATAGAACTGTAACTCAAAAGCCACATGCACTTTCGTACAGTAGACACTACCCACACGTAGTGTGTTGTGAAACGCAATGATACTACCTGGCCGCCCAGACATGGCCACGTTGAACGGTATTGAAGTCCGTAACCTTGCTGGTTAAAAGTTGATTGCTTAGGCCAGTGAGTCATGGCTTCATTTGTTAAGTTAAAAGTCAAAAACGTATTATGAATGTCGGATGTAAATACAGGATCAAGTTACGAAGTTATTGGCTACTGGTTTGGGTTGTGTAAAGGATCTTAAACCTTGTAGATGAACTTCTCAGGGTATGTTGATGTATTTAGCCCTTCATCTGTCTTTAATTATCAAAAAGCTTATTATTTCAGTGTGTATATGCTGTCTACTTTTATCCTTCTCACTTCATTAACAATTTTTCGTTCATTTGTCTACTGAGCTGTGTAATGAAGTGGCTTGACTGGATGTACCATTGTCAGGAATTTCGTTGTTTTTTTATTCCAACTGTAACTTCTCTGGTTAGTACTGTATCTTTTAAGTTGGTATCCAACACGAACTGAGATCATTTGGAGAATCATTGAAGATCTGAGAGCACGAGATGGCTTTTTTGTCGTAGTATAAGACTCCTCAGCAGTACGCAGCTCCGACCCGACCAAGGATCGGTTTCAGGACCTTCATGTTTCATGGAGAACGCGTTAACTATTGAGTCGTTGGGTCGAAATCCAGTGGTTCACGTTCTCCTACTGCTGTCAGTCGGTGATATAGCGCGACTATCATCCAAGCTGATCGGCTGCCATCCACTTCGCTTCTGACTGGTTAACCCCACAGGTCCTAGTTTCTCGTTAAAACTTCAGGATACCCATCCTCACTAACTTCAAAATATATTACTTTATAATCCTCATTAATGACATGTTTCGAAATAGATATCTCAAACTTCTAATGAGAAGCTAAGGCATGTGGGGTCAGCCGGTCAGAAGTGAAGCAAAGGCCAACTAAAGACCGTGGATGACAGTTGCGCTATATCATGAATTGACTGAAGTAGGAAACTGTGGACCACTGAATTCCTACCAAGTAACTCAATGGTTAACGCGTTCGCCGTGAAATGTGAAAGTCCTGAGCTCTATCTATGGTCAGGTCGTGGGTATGTACAGCTGAGGAGTCCCGTACCAGAACGAAACGGCTGTTCAGTACTCACAGGTTTTCAATGGTTCCCGACTGATATCAGTTCGTGATGAGTGCTACCTTAAAAATAAAACATCTAAATTCAAGATACAGTATTGTATCTATCACAAACTAGACGCATTCCTCAACTTGTCTACTTGAATGTTAAGTTTATATTTGAAAATTTTGCATTACTCCTTTTATTGTTTGTCGTATGCAATTGTGCTGACAAAAGGCTAGAGTTTGATGTTCATTTTAAACTATAAGCTACTCGGTTGAGATAACGTATTTTCAAACTTAGTTCTCTACACTATTCCTTTAAATTATAGAAGAGTAAGAATAGTACTTCGGTGAATAGTTGACGTTAAAGTAGTAAAAGCAGTTAAGTAGCGGGGACTGTACTATATATTAATACTAGATAGCTTATTTCGAAAATCTTCGGTTCTGGAATGAACTACTAAGTCATAATGATGGTTTAGTTGGCGGTGATACAAATGAAATCTTTCGTTCCGGATATTTCTGCTTGCGGAGACATCCGTTGAAATTTATATATATATATATATATATATATATATATATATATATATATATATATATATATATGAGCATATGACAAGATTTACAGAAAATTCTGCTCTACTTCATATGGCCTATTTTCTGCTGTCACTTTAAACTTTTTTTTTGTTGTTTTCATTTAGGGTCCTAAATGTTCTGGTCGTGGTGTATGCGACTGTGGTCAATGCTTCTGTAACAGTGGTTATACTGGTCATTTATGCAATGAAATTCAAGGCGGTGAATCGGCATTGTGCACTGATCGTGATGTCGAAAAATGTGTACTTTGCTTACGTGATTCATTGGTCAAAAGTTTTGAGGCAACTGAAAAGGCTAAAGGGGAAGAAATGGAAAAAATAAATACTGAGGCAGAAGAAGCGTCTTTAAGATTAAATCAAGGTCAACCAGGGTCTATGATCTATTCATCACCAGAGTATGCATTGGCTGCTGGTCGATGTGAAGCTGCATGTAATGGTACTGTTGTAGACACTAGTCGAGTGAAACTAGTTGAAGTCAGTGAACAAAAGGATGATTCAAACTTGTGTATCATTTATACGGAAGATAATTGTCGAGTGTTTTTCACCTATCGTTATTCTGATGCAATCTATGTGAATCGTAAAGTAAGAATGTATTGAATGTATGTATTATTACATGGCTATAAACTGATGCTTTTTTGGCTTACGATTGGTTCTGTATATTTCACTGATTAGTAATCATGATAAAGTCCATGGTCGTATTAGTTCTTTGTTACAGTGTGTTGCACTGTTCCAGTGTTATTTCTTCAATTTTCGCTCCTTGATATTTATGAAATGAGTCTTTTTGCGGCTAATTAACGTTTCTGTTACTATCTTTGTAGTATTTTTCACGCAGTAAAGAGAATTTCTAATCTATATTGAGATGTGTACTTGTGATGTTTAAGAAGGAGTAATCTAATCTACAATTCAGGCATAGAGTTTAGAAAACAACACTAAACTATCTCACATTCTTATTGTAAACATCCAGGTCATATTTGTTACGAATATCCTGAAAGAAGTTGTTTTCGATTTTCTCAACATGATGGGTTTATTAATATAAGTGAAAAACTTGGGCACTGTGGTAGAATGTAGTTCCATATTAGATTTGTTTATTTGATATGAAGCGCACAGTGATACAGTATTATTTACTTGATTACGTTTCGAGCATAAATTATTGCTCATAATCATATCATTGATAACATTGATATGATTATGAGCAATAATTTATGCTCGAAACGTAATCAAGTAAATAATACTGTATCACTGTGCGCTTCATATCAAATAAACAAATCTAATATGATGGGTTTATGTTAAAACACCTATATAATGTCTCACATTCTTTGTGGAAACGATTTAATCGAATTGAACACCTTCTGTTGTGTATTTGGATATCATTGGTATTAGCATTCTAACAGAATTATCCTACACTGTTGACTCCATTCATTCTTGTTTTTGGTTGATATTTTCCAAGCAGTTTATAGTGTGTAATATACTTACCGGAAATAAACCAAGGTAGTTCTATGCGTATTTCTTCGATGAATTTTTTCTAGGGGAATTTTATATCAATCTTTATCATTTCTTTTTGACTGGTTACTGTTTTTCAGTCTAAGAGTTGTCTATAGTCTCTGGTTCACGCGTGTTGTAACTGTAAAGTGAGCGTATAAGATTCTTCATTGTGTATAGAAATTTCAATACGTTTTTGCATTTGACACCCATTTTTACTAAGTCGATTCGAATAAGAGTTTTGAGTAGTGCGAAATAAAAATGACCGAGGACTTGACACAGTTGTGTCGACCAGAGTTATCACAAGTCTACCATGGAGAAAAAAGCGTGGAACTACATTTCCTTTCGCACTACACACGAAAACTCTATGACCTAGTGTTAAATCTCTTACTGTATTCCTAATCTTATTATCATCATTGATTGATTGGTTACTGGAGGGCAACTAATTTCATTTTGTCTAGTCCTGAGTACTGACCGAATTCTGTCGATCGTTTGGCAATGTGGCCACCAAGCCAAGAGGCTCAGCATTGTGGTGTCAACCAGATCGAAATCTGGATTCAGGACATGCTGCCGATTGCTTCCAACTAACTAACATTGTCACCGTGCATTAGCTTAGTTGATAGTTAAGCATGTCACTACAGGTTTATAGCTGTCACCAGGTCTTGTCTAAGAGAACGGTGTGCAGGATTAGACAGCAACCCTTGACCCATTGTTTGGCAGGTAAAAGTGTAGGCCGCTGACCGTTATATGTATTTAACCTACTACTTGTATATTCACTAATTCTTTCAGAGCATATTTTACGTATTTATGAGGAATAACTTCCAAAGCATCATTCATATTACTTATATATCTCTTTAATTATTCACAAAAAAATTAATTGCAGGTTGATTTGAACATTATTCGAAAAAGTGAATGTACCAAGACGATAAATATTCTATACATTGTCCTTGGTGTTATTGCAGCCATTGTACTAGGTGGTCTGATACTCCTGTTAATCTATAAACTTGTCATTACCATTGATGACCGACGTGAATTGGCCAACTTTAAACAACAAGGTGAAAATATGCGTTGGGAAATGGCAGAGAATCCTATCTTTGAGTCACCAACAACAAATGTTCTCAATCCAACATTCGAAGAAAATGGATACTGAAATAAGAAAATCACGTGGAACTAACTACCAAAATTATCAGAGACGATAGTATTATATTAATATATGATTCTCTTTCAAGCGTAATCTTGCAAAACTACTTTTCCATTTCTCCATGTTTTGTACTTGAACGGCTGCATCTTTAATCATTTTATTGTATAAAATGTTTTTTGGGATCTCATTTTACTTTTTTTTTAAAAGAAAAACTTTATATATCATGATATATGTGGCACACTGTTTTTGCACTTGGTTTAACTTTCAATTGATACACACTTATCTCTGATATAAACAAAACGGACTTATATGTGCCTTACCGTTTGAATTTTGAAAAAAAGGTTAAGCGATGAACCTACAGCTGACGTTTACTTTTGCTTATTGACTTCACTATCTCCTATTTATTTCATATTAAAGCATGTTTCATCATTATATATATTATTGTATACACAGTTCTGCATGCATTTTGTTTGATTTTTAGCTGCTTTTTTATCGCATAGCTTTTTTTTAACACTTCTGTCTGTTTTGACACTGCGCCTTGAACGCTGAACACTAATCGTGTATAGTTGTATTTCTCCTCAATTTGCCCTTCTAAATACAACATTCGATTGGGGGGGGGGAGGACTTTTCCCAACAATCCCTTTTCACAATATAATGCTTCTGTTATTGCCTCTCCAAAATCTATCAAAACAAACTCTTTCTATACTTTTTATTGTATTTCACTACTTCTATTGAAATGTACTGGTTTTTTGGGCTGTTAGAAAGAGTGCTTTACTCATTTATGATAATATAATAGGATGTTAATTACAAGCGAAATTGTCTTTTCTGTTTTATCTGCATGTGTGTGTATGTGTTTGTACGCAACAAAAGAATGATATACCTTATTGTTACTTTCAGCCTAAGTCGATTTGCGGTTCAACGTACTAATAGATAGTTGTGGAAACTTCCTAAAAATCTGAAGATGCTTTTCTCCGCGAGTTATTTTCTGTGAAGACACTACTAGTAATTGTATTTTAAAGCATCTAAAGACGGATAAGCACTACATTGAATCTAAACTTCTTTCTGAACTAAACACATTACCCTTTCTGTACCGCTTAATACTTAACTTGCCCAACATTGTTAAGAAACTAAACTTGTTTGAGCGTCTATGACTCCTTAATATAACTAAACCTATTCTCCATTGACATATGAAGTATTACTGTTGTGGAGAATTTAGTAGGTCACAAAAGGCATTATTCCTATCACTGAAACGAAAGTTAATTATTTTTTAAAACTCTAATACGAACAACACTGACTGCATACAAACAGTTAATTGGTAAATTAACATATTCTTCCTTGCTTGTTCTAAATTGCTGGTCAGTAATATGATTCCCAGCTGAAAAGAGAGTTACGATACACTCAACAATTCTTTTGATCCTTATGTTTGCATTCTGGAAATGTCAAGAGTTACCTGCAATGGTACAAACCGTAAACAGTTATTCAATTCACTACGTTGTATGTTTTTAGGCAAAGAAAAAGCAGTGTACTCAGAAATTTGTTGTGTTTCTTACAATTTGGATATTTTTTAATAAAACCTGGCCATCTGATATAATAGCCATCGTTGAGTATTTTATTTCTAGAAAGCCTCTCAGCTTTATATTGATGAACAAAAATAAAACAGATTTTTCTTCTTCATCGTACTGTATAACAGGTTACATCATAGAGTTCATTAATGATAAATACTTTGTGGGGATACGGAAGTATCGTTTGATAGACTCCACCACTTGTCACATTGACGAAGTATCTGGTAGCATATTCAAGAGTGTATATTCTTGACCTCAGTCTCATTTATCTTACTGTGAGATATAGCTTTTGAAAACAAAGCTACACAAATACTTTTCTGGGTAAGCAGTAAGTGTTCTTGACGCATACGGAACCTCAGAGCATGCAGTTTTGGGTTTAGGACATGATTTAAAGCAAGTAAACTAGGTTAGTTGGTGACGTTTTAGATACACACTGACTTAGGTGTTTCAGCTTTGCCTCACTCATTACAGGGAGTTGCCTGTTCCAACGTACGATGATGAGTGAAGCTATATTAGAGTGTAGTTAAGTGTGACCAAGTGAAAAAATAGTACAAATCCATGCAGCCACTGATTGTAAGTCAGATTTGTCGATAAATACAAATTTATTGGATAAGATCTTCAAAACGTTAACAGTGAATAGTTGAAAGCTCTGAACGACTGGTCAGAAATCGTTATCAGTGGTATAAGTTCATTCAAGTTCTATCACCTGTTACTCGAATGTCTTATTGCTCTGTATTTATTTATGCTTTTTTTCTATCCATTCTTTTCCTGATCATCTTTTTGTATTTCAGAAACATATAAGTTCTCTTTTGATATACACAAGAGAAATTTGGCAACTTGGACAAGTCTACTTTCTTTTGTTTCTATACCTTTGCCAAAGATTTTGATTTATGGGAAGTACTAACAGTCTTGCGTTTGTATGCTCTACGAATTTGCGAAGAATTTCTCACATTTACCTTAACACTAGTGTATCACACCGTTCCTCAGAAGTAAAGTGGGCTGTTGAACCAGTAAGTACGTGACCACCGTTGCCTTCATAGTATAGACCGTATTCCGTGATGTCACCATGTGAGTGATGCAGAAGTCAGGAGTAGAGTTTTAGGGAAAAGTAAGTCAGTTGACGAGGTTGTGAACCTTCATCGACTGAGATGGTTGGGACACGTACTACGTATGCCTAGTCACCGATTGCCTCGTCACACAATGTTGGCTGAGGTGGGTCCAGGCTGGAAAAAGGCTCGAGGTGGCCAGACTAAAACATGGCACCAATATATGAAGTGTCTGACTGTTGGTTTAAGCCATGTAGGACGATGCAGACTAGGTGGTTGGGGTCCACGGGAAAAAAGGAAACAATAGTTGGAGACTCTAGATGATATGGCTCAGAACCGAAGTCAGTGGCGCAGATGTGTACACACATTATTCCCATCTTAATGACGCTATGCCGAATCTCAGTATTTTCTCTTCCTCTCTTTTAGTACTTTATATTTCTTTCGACTGAATTTTCCTTTCTTCATCTTCCGCTTCACTGCCTCTTTAATCGATTTACTGATATGAGGTGTGGCAAATGGAAACGTTACTTGGTAATGCCTGGTCCTATGTTGATTTGGTTGGATGAAATATGTGAAGACCTAAAAAACACTATTCGTTGATGAAACTGCCTTTTGTTCTTCCTGCTGTGTGGGTTGATCCCGTGAGAAAGCACTGGCACAGATTCATCCATGCCTTATTGTCATCATTCTGTCCGACTCCCAAATTAGTTGATACGTTTCCAAGTAATCGTAAGGAAAATATTAGTAACACAGGTGTTAATAGTAGTAATAATAATGTTAATAGTAGTAGTGGGAATACTCTGAAGGGAGAACTCAAGACCTCTACAGTATTACCATACAAAGAAGGCATAATGCGAAATTCTCAATAATGCTGGTTGGGATTAGAATGGCATTTAAACTTAAAACTCACTTAGAAATAAACTTTGTAGGTTCAAAGATCCTATTGATCCAGCTAAACAGAATAACTTAGGTTGCCGAATCCCTTGGAACGATTGCGAGATCGAATACATAGGTGAAAGTTGGCGATCCGGGTCAATTAGGCTATCTGAGCAGAAAAACTCATCTAGGTCAAAATTGGTAGATCCTAGTAAGGTAACGAATTTAGAAAAAAGCTCAGCCATAGCTATACATGCGATTACAAACAACTACACAATAGGATGGGACAGGGTAAAAATCCTTAGAACTAACATTATAAGGTGGAGGGAGAGATTGGTAATTGAATCTTTATTCATTGAATGACTCAGCACCTGTTCCGGACATATGGAAAATCTTACTACCCATGTCACAAAGAGGGGAATTAGGACTATACAAAGGATATCTCAAAGTTGTGTAGTTATCTTGATATGACTATGGACAATAAATTGTATCTGAAACGTAATCCAGTAAACAATACTCTTACCCCGTGTGATAAGTCTAGTAAATCAATAAAAATGGAATTACATTCTACCACAGTTCACAAGTTTTGCTTCTATATTGAATCTGTTTTCTTACTGTATCATATGCTTTTTGTACTCTTGCTTTGTATCCACATAAGATACTAACTCCTTGCTCACATAGTTGTCAGAATGTAAACGAGTTATTTCCCTTGTGAGGAGTGGGGAGGTAACCATTTCATTTTACTCTAATATTAGTTGTGCTTAAAATAACTCATACTGATGCTACCTAAATGCTGAATATATTTTGCAGAAGCAAGGGTTTTTTTCCTTTAGTAATGGAAGAGGTTGTAGTTGGTGACCGCTAATTATATTTTCTGACATTCACTCAATCTTGAGAATGAGGAAACGAAATTGAAACGCACTCAGCCATCTTGTGCACATCCATGCAGTAGGTAACGAGGTATACCTATTGTGTGAAAGGATGATACTTACTACCTGGCTACCCAAACTTCAGTAGGTGGAACAGGGTTCAAACCCATGACCAAATGGCTGATAATCATCTCCTCTAACCGTTGAGCCATGACTCCACTTTGAGAACGAGTTGGATGAAGATCTGACTCAACAGTCACATGTATATTTATCCAATAGGTAGTGGACGTCAGCTAGTGAATAAGGACTGAGTATGCCATCTGGCTGCTCTTGTGTTTACAGCTTACACGTCGAAATGATATTTTGAAGGGCTATTTCGTCGTTTGGACTTCTGTGTCTTGTCAAACACGTTTCTTGTTCCCTGCTGATTTTTTGTTAGCTCTGGACTGTCTATGATCGAAATATCGAATTGTAGGGCACTCAGTGACCAAAATGCACATTCATGCAACAGGCAGTGAGCAGCACCTATTGTGTGAGGCCAAATGATACTAACATGGCTAGACCTCGTCAGGTTGAGGGGGGGTTCTAACCAATCGGCTGGAAGTTGGGTGATTAAACCATTGGGCCACGGCTCCACTCTGTAGGCAAGGAGAAGCCATGAAACAAGATGAATTCTTCTTATTTTTTAAACTTTGTCTTCTCCTTGATAGAATCATTTGAAGGAAAACTATGTATGCATAAAACTAGGTGTTTGAAGTTGTTGCTCATATCTGTCGTAAATCGTCTGAATGCAAGGTGAATGTTAGTGCTTGATTAAATCCTCTAACCAGTATAGCCATGTAAGATTCTATCTGTTAAGCATCACTGCTAGTACTTTTAAATCCAAACGTTATAGGTTTCAAACATCCTCTTTTTTAAAGTAGCACACTTCAGATAAAGCCAATCTTATTTAATCTATACATTTCACATTTTTCAAGAACATACATACTTAATGCACGTAATACCTGGTATACTTTTCTAGATATAGCATTGATCGTTTGCTATCCATATAAATCAGTTTATTATTATTAAGGTGAACACATGTTCACCCACGCATAAAAATTCTTAAAAACATTTAGATCATTTTCACTGACTGATACAGAACCGTTTTCTAAGTGAAATAAGTGGAGAATTGTTGAATTGCAAACTGAGTCAATCCTGTATATCTCTTTGTTTATCCTAACTAGCTTTGGTTATTTGCTGAATAAGGATTGTTTCAAAATACCGGAGGAAGTATTGTAATTATTTTACATGTGACACTGATCTTTTGAGCATAAATTATTCCTCACCATCATATCAAAGTTATCACCCAACTTTCGACATACGATTTTAATAGTCCTATCAAATCATCCTACTTGTTCACAGTTTTAGTACAATTCTCCACACCCCTAAAACAGGCGCTGAATTATTCCTGTAACATATGATAATTGTTCATTTGGGAAACAAGGAATTAGTAATAAATCTCTCCCTACTTAGTTGTATTCACCGTTCGAACGGTTGCTTTGTCCCATCCTGTTGTATGATTGTGCATTGCAAAAGCTGAGCTTTTCTTCTGAACTATTGGTCTTAGTAGGGTCTATCATTTGAATCAGTACTTATATTATGATAATCTATCCATATGACCCTGATCGGCTGATTTGACGCCACAATCACTCCATAGTATTTGGTGAATCAAATTAATTTGTTTAATTACATCACTAGAATCCTTTTTCTATGTGAGTCTTTAGGTCTAAATCCCAGCATAATTCCAGCTTTGTTGAGAATTTTACGGGCAGTATCTGATGCGCTTTCCGTATAGGATAACACAGAAGAAGTACTGAAAGCCTTTCTTTTTGTGTTATCGTTGCTACTCACAATACTATTGCTACTTCGCTTCTTATATGCTCCTGATAAACTATAGGGATGGCTATTGGTCAGTAGAGTCTCATTTATAGGTTTCAATTTCCTATTTATGTCCTTTAGTTCATGAGTGAGTTTTCTAGCATTTTCATTTTTAAACATTTAACCATGCCTGCTTTAACTAATATTGAATATGATGGTCTGTAGTCTAGGTAACTTTTCAGAATATGTTGTTGATCGTAATACCGAAACTACCACCTCTCCTTCGTCTTACTCTGCAGTCCAACGTAGCCAATTCCCTTTATTTGCATGACTTTAAAGAAGTTTCATTCAATTCATCGGATTTGATGGAGATATCTGAATCACGGATTTACTGTGTTAAAATCTAAGCATATCGATAATGTTTCCACGCATGAATTCACCAGTAGATGCAACCCAGTTCACTTACGAGTTATAAAATTAATAAGGAGAATATGTTTTATGAAAGGCCTAAAGCAGTTGTCAAACAGTGGTTGTGTACTGAACACAACACCTGAATCTTCTAAGTTTGTCTATGAAATGAATGGAGTGTTCAGTAACAACAGGACTCAAAGAGTAGGACGAGAAAAGTATTCGATACTTTCTAGTTTTTTTCTAGCAACGATTGAATTGATGAGGTCCAAACTGAAATGCTGTCTAGTGTTCAGTAGTGACATGCTTCGAGATGAGATTTCTTGAAGTTCTAATGAGAAATCATGACCTGTGAGACAAACCAAATCAGACATCAACGATGGAATTGTCCGAAGGCCACGGTATTTCATAAATTGACAGAAGTATGAATACCTGGGCTGTTAGATTCTGACCCAGTCACTCAATGGTAACTTGTTTGCAAATAAACCTGAAGGTCCTGGATGCACACTGCTGAGGAGTAGTAGAACGAAACAGTGCTCCTAGGTTTCCAACGTTTATTTAACCGATGTTAGTCCTTAATGATTGCCAACCTGGATTCAGCAGATATCCACCAACCCCCAAAGTGAAAGGCGAAATCACTAGTTTACGTAGATTTCAGTCTAAAATTTTTCTATGTTTTGGTATATCCTGATCGATTTTTCAGTATTACACTGACTTTTCTGACAATCTTATTGGAATGGTTGCTGAGTAGTATTCGCATCACTAGTATGTATTATGTTGCCTACAGATTTCCAGACGGTGTGGTCTTCTTGGTTCAGTATTATCCCAACGTCTACATCATCATTATACACTGATCATTATTGGGAAGCAGATAAAATGCTCGTCTTCAGAATCATCCGAGAAACTGCTTTCAAATACTGCAACAAATGAGGATATTACTGGTGAGCAGATGAAATGTTTCGACAAAGCTTCTTCGTATCGTTTTGTGCCATCAAGACCTATCTGGAAACGATTTGACGTCGGTTTACAAAATGAATTAGACCAGGAGACTGATGTGAGTTTGCATATTACACTTTACACTACTGTAACATATATTAATGTTTTAAAAACGTTCAAAAAACTAGTCGGTGTGACACGTCATTTAGCGCACTAACCTTTTAGATTTTTACCCCGATATCACATCAGAGCACTCTAATTCCTAACCATCCGTACAATATACGTTGAATACGCCATGCAAGTGAAATCAAAGCGTTTCCTAAAATGATGTTAGGAAACTGACGAACATCTTAAATGGATGGTTATCTCTTCCAAAGTATTATAACTAGCCAAGTAAATTTTTTCGCTCCGGTTTTATAAATTGAAAATAGTTATTGCATTAACACTCCGTGTTAATAAACACGAATATCGATAATTTCAATGGCTACTGACTATATTTACCTTGAAACTGTTTGAGCTTCTTGGATGAGGCTTCTAGGTATACTACAAGAAATTATATCACATTTCATAAGTTACTGTATATTGTTGATTGAAATAATAGTTGTGTAATTCAAGGGTCGGTAGACAATCCTCCATAAAAAGGTATGTTAACGAAATATACTCTGTTGTTCGCTGTGCTTTATTATGTGACTGTGTGATATGGCTATTGAAAGTAGGAAATATGAAGAGATTAAAGGATATTGACTACAGATGTCTCGTGCATGGTGAGCAGGGTTGAAGTGATTTATAGAGTACACATGAAAGACAAATCAGTTAAGGAATTTGTTTACTTTGTCGAACTGAGGTGGTCTGGACAATTGTTGCGTATTCCGAACCACCATCTACCTCGAAAGTTAGATGAGGTTGGAAGAAGACTCAGGGTGGCTAAGTCAAAATGTGGCACCACTCTATGAAGTCTCTGGCTGCTGATCTGAGCCGTATAGGGAGGTGAAAACTACCTGGCCGAAGTCCATGAGATAGTAGGAATTATTTTTGGGAAACCGATAGTGACATACTTGAATATCGATCAAAATGGCATAGATGTATTCACTCTTTGATGTCATTAACCCTCATTTTCCAATCCTTTCTTCTCCCATACACTTTCTACACCGTTATCAATCTTTTTGTGTCCACTTGCTATTTGCTTGCTACTGTGAAGTGTGGCAACTCAATGTATAGCTCCATATTAGATTTGTTTATTTGATTTATAACACACAGTGAAATAGTGATATTTATACTATATCACTGTATTTAATGTTATTGCTTGTATTACACCGTCGTTGGTTGAACCGAATTGATCAGTCTCTGTTGGCATATGGGCTCCTGTGTGGAAGCCTTAATATTGCCTGTGTTCTTAAATATATAGTAATGATTGGTAGTGACTAGTAGACGAATCCAGGATGCGCATTTCGTTTTATTTGGGACTCGTCAGCTGGATGTACCTGCCTCCCAGTGAGTGATGTTGTTCCCACCGGGATTCGGACTCGGGAACGATCGCTTCAAACGTGAGAGCACTATCCACTGCGCCACCGAGCCACGATAACCACTTCTTGTGCTCCCGAGTCCGAATCCCGGTAGGAGCAACATCACTCACTGAGAGGCAGGTACATCCAGCTGACGAGTTCCAAATAGGACGAAATGCGCATCCTGGATTCCACTGCTAGCCACTGCCCATCATTACTGTATACCAATGTATGTTGTAAATCAAATCAACAAATCTAATATGGACTTGAATTCTACCACAGTGCCCAAGTTTTACGCCTATACTAATGCATAGCGTTTGTACTTGACAAATATAATGACCATAATAATATATCTGCTGTCATTTAAGATATTGCAGTGTAGATGCAATTAACATATAAATGTAAGTGGATGAAACAACTAGTCCCAAAACGGATCGATCAAAATCGACTTTGTGCTAATTACGGCTATAGTTAGACTGACAGACAAAGCATCAATGATGAATATATTTCTATGCGTCTATCTTTGTTCTCGTTCATTGACATTGTGATTAAGCTGCCTACGCTCCTAAGACTGGAAATTTCTATAGGTCTTATGATATACTTTCGGGTTTTCTGCTTGGATATATGTTTCTACTCGTCTCAATGTGTCTTCGGCGGGTCGGAAATCAACTAGGAAGTTGTAAAACGTTGGTGGTTGGTAATAATATAGGTGTAAAACTTGGGCACTGTGGTAGGAATTAATTCCATATTAAATTTGTTTATTTGATTTATAACACACAGTGATCTAGTATTACTTACTTGATGACTTTTCGAGCACAAATTATTGCTCATAATCATTATCAATATAATCACACTAATTTCGACATTTGATTTTTATAGTTACGTCACTTTATATGAGTTGTTTTCATTGGTTGCAAAATTTTCCATACCTCTGGTATATGTGTTGCGTCATTTCTATTATATGTGTTGAGTGTCGATTCGATGAACAAAGATTCAGTAATCAATCTCTCTCTCCACCTAATTATATTGGACTTAAGTACAGTGGCTTTATCCCACTCTATTGTGTGGTTATGTGCTAATGCATGCATAGCAATAGCCAAGTTTTTTTTCTAGATTATTGATCTTATTTAGGTCTCTTATTCTATATTTAGCTAAATTCCTATGTTCGGCTATTCTAACTGACTCCGGCCGACTGGTTTGACCTATATACTTGACCTTACAGTCATTACACGGTATTTGATGGATTATATTATTTTGCTTAATTGGTTCTATCGGATCCTTAAGCCGACAAAATTTATCTCTGATTGAGTTTGTAGGTTTAAATGCCACCGTAATTCCAGTCCTGTTGAGGATTCTACGTAAAGTTTCTGAAGTACCCTCCTTATAGAGTAATACAATGGAGGCTGTGAACGTGGTACGTTCCACTACAATTAACATCAGTAAATTTGGAACCATAATAATAACTGCTTCTACAACACTGTGGAGCTGTAGCTCAAAGGTTTGAGAGAATGATTTTCAACTATTGGGTGGTAAGTTTGAAACCCACTCCATCTACTCAGGTTTGGGCAGCCAGGCAGTGTCATTAGCCCTTACACAATAGGTGTGGTCACTGCTTACTACAAGAATATGCATCAGGTTGTTGAGCGCCTAAACGTTCCAAGCGTAGATTACGAATATCTAATCAGCACGAATTAGAAAACCGAATTTTCCCTGTACAGTAGTTGAAATCAATATTCAAAAGTTTCACCCACTGATATCTGGATCTGATCACTCTGGATTCCACTCCTGACCACCAACAAACAAACAACATCAAAGAAAAGCTCAGGAAACATTCAGGCAACCCATATGCTTAGACAGACTGACCAATCCGGTCCAACATAATAATCAACATCAATAAATGATCTCAAACAATTTATTATACAGTTATCTGGAGACTATGAACAAAAAGCAGATAATAATTGGAAAGTCATACAATATGTGAATACGTGAAAGAAATACCATCACAATATTATAAATATCCAGTTCATAGTTGTTTCGAATTTATTAGAAGAGTTTGAACGCTGAGTTTCATCCAACCACTATATATAAGTTTTAATATAATCTCAGCTTGTTTAGAAAATCAAAAGGAGATGCATGTTACTGCTGAAGAGATGGAACACACAGCGAAGCGTTCAGAAAAATTTTGTTTTTATTTCTAAGCACTCTGAGATTATATTAAAACTTATATATAATGGTTGAATCAGACTCGGCGTTCAAGTTCTTCCAATGGTGGTACTTCTTTCGCGTATTCACATATTATATGGCTTTCCAATTATTATCTGCTTTTTTTTCATAGTCTCCAGATAACTGTATAATAAATCGTTTGAGATCATTTATTGATGCTTGTTATTTCCCGTTGATTATATTGCATCGGATTGGTCAGTTTGTCTAAGCGTGTGGTTGCCTGAACGATGCCTGGATGTTTCCCGAGCTTTTCTTTGAGGTTGTTTGTTTGTTCATGGTTAGAGGGGGAATCTAAGAAGCTCATTTCGTCCTATCTATAACTCATCACTTGTCCATAACTGCTGCATATAATTATTGTCCACTGAGGTGCAGGTACTTCCAGCTGCCGAATTCCACTAGATTAAGATCAATTCGAATTTATTCTCCAACTTCTTAAGTTATGGAACACAAGTTTCTTGCATTACACAACGTTTTGAAACTCTGACGTAGTAATGTGTTTGAAATACAGAATCTAAAGATAACTAATATTACTGAGTGTTTAGGTTTGATATACAGTGTCACTTGGTGAAAAAAAAACTTCAGCTTTTTTGTTCTTGGATAACATTTACTAGGCATGTTACAGTTTTGAAAATAAATTTCTTTAGTTACTGGGTTTGACAGCTTTTTGATTCTATTCCAAGATGCAGCGTAAACGTTATGCATAATGCATCACTTATCTTCATAGCTGGTAATATGGTGGGGAAATCCAGCTGATGTGAAAAGTTTTAATGATAGCATTATGTAAATTTCACGTTACTTTTTTAAACCAAAGGAAAAAACACAGGTTCCGTTGAAGTTGCCTCAAAAGAAATTATGTTCCGAACTTGGTAGGCGTACATGAAGCACAGTATTCTGCAAGTACTCCCAGTTTAATGATAAAGAGTGAAATGTTGGAATGTGTCGACCACTTTACTTACTCAGCCCGGACGGTTGCTAACGAAATCTCAGCTTGGATACAGAAGACTCGTTTGGCATTTACTAACTTGCGCCACCTGTGCAGTCAACTGGTGAAATATCCGACTATCTATCGAAGGATGAATAAGTGCTCTGTAGTCCGTTCTGTCCTGTTGTATGGCTGAGACATGGCCGTTGTAAGTAGAAGATATAAAGCGACTACAGGGTTTTAATCAGAGATACCTTCTTAGCACTACTCGCGTTTGGTAGAATCCCCGTCTGAAGTCAGACGGAGGGTATCAGGCAAGGCAGGTGTTGTGATGCCCCAGTTTTGTATAAAACATTGTTATCGATCCGAACATTTTGACGTGTCATTCCCACATCATTTTGGCGGTATGACTAATAGTCTATTTTCTGCCTCTATTGTAGTGTAATTCGCTGATTGGTTAACTTTTACTCC